TGTATGTATGTATGTATGTATGTATGTATGTATGTATGTATGTATGTGTATGTGTGTGTGTGTGTGTGCCTAGACAGTTGTAAGCAGCCCTGTGGGTGCTGGAAATAGAACCTGGGCCCTCTGGGAAAGCAGTCAGTGCTCTTAACTGCTGAGCCACCTCTCTAGCCCTGAGAAGAAGGAATTCTGAGGTGCAGCAAAGCCACATTTTTAAAGGACTGGATTTCAATAAACTATCTTGGGACTGGGGATGCAGCCCAGTTGTCAAATGTCAGCATGCACAGGCAGCGGGTCACCTTAAAAACAGAGCGGGGGTGGGGAGAGACCCACCTCTGGAGAAAAGAAAGTATGCGTTATTCCCAGCCAGAGTAAGACTATGTCACTAACACATCTCATCCACTTCCTTCTTGTGGGACCAGCTTATGTTGAGAAGTCTCCGCCACAGATGATTGATTCTAGAATTTCTGGAGACAAGCAGGTGGACTGGTCATCTAAGTGTATGACTACAGGCTAAAGCGATGAACCACAAAATGAGTCATATGCCAACGTAACAGGCTGAGATGGGTGGTAGAGACACTGGTATGAGCTATGCATCCATAGATGGGCCTGTGTCCCACAGGGAGGGTCAGACCTGGCCTTCATTCCCTGCACCTCAAACTCAGTTATAGCTCACATAAAATAATTACTCTACACTGTAAGAATATTCACAAATATGGCTATAAACCAGTGGCCTCAGATAGTAGTTTTCTTCTGGTTTGGGCAAGGTGTTTGAATGTGAAATGCCCTTCCTAGCCTCACGTTTGGACACGTGGTCCTCAGAGGATGGTGGTGTTTGGGTAGGCTGTAGAGACTTTAGTAGTTGGGGCTTGGCTGGACAAAGCTGGCTGCCAGAGGACAGGCATGGAGGGTAATGGCCCAACCGACCAGGGTAAATGCCTTCCTAGTTTGTGGAGACTGAGGAGTCCCCAGCAACAGGCTCCCACTACTGCCAACACCACCAGGTACAACACTGTACCCTCGTAAACCAGGAGCAGAAATAATTCCTTTCTCCGCTAAGCTGCTCTGTCATGCATTCCATCACAGTGGCTAGAATAGCGAGAAATGTGACTGATATGCTCACTCTGTGAAAGGTCAGACAATGTTAATTGAAAAATTAGTCAGGTAATTATTTTGGCCCTTTAAATTAAGATGTCAACAGCAAAGCCACAGAGGCAAACAGTCCACATATATACACAAATTATATATATATATCTGTATGTATTAACAGCACCATTATTTCTACAGCTCCAACAAATCCCTTCCTTTTTGTTCCACATGAGGTACCTAATGCCTACCTGGAGAGTTTTCTGCAATGATAACTTTCTTCTCAACACAACAATGCCCTTTAACATGGAAATAAGTTAGTAAAGGCTTAAACAAAGATGTGAGGTCAAACTATCAATGGAAGCCACATGCTGGAAACAGCGGATTACTGAGTAACCTGTGGCACAAAGCCACCCCCATTTCTGGACCACCTGCCCATGTTGTGACAGTTATAAATCACAATCTTCTCCAGCAACTCCAGAGCTCTCTGTTACAGCTGCTCACATCACACAGATGGACTAGCACAGTATGAGGCTAGCTTCCTTGAACTTGGAGACTAATTAGACTAGGCTTAGGAATTATTAATATAATTTTATCTCAAGATTTAAACTCATTCTAAAATTAAAATAAACACTCTTCTTAGGCAAGGAAAAAGCCATCTAAGAAGAACCTAGATATTACTCCCAAGTTCCACTTGGGCTGCAGGAGAACAAGACAAAGATCCCCTCTTATCCCCAAACCCCTGGCATACACAAGACAACTTGAGAAAACATGTAATTGGAATAGCATTTTAAGTAAAAGGACCATAAAGTGGGGCTCAGAAAAACCATTTTACAAGTTGGAAAGTGCAAGCATTCCTCAAGCAACCACAGAAGCCACACGGCCACACGTGGATGAGCTGCCTCTGCTATGCCACTGTCACGGCCGGCACAGCGCTCTCGCCACGCCGCTTCTATGGTCTTGGCAGTACACTGAGCTGGGGCTATCCAGGCTTTTCTAGGTCTGTCTTTTCCCCAGGACATGAGCTTCTTGAGAAACGAGCTGGACAGGTAACTCAGTGGTAGAGTGCTTGCCTGGCACAAGGCCCTGGGTTCATTCCAGAGGGGCTGGGAAGAGTACAGGAGAAAGGAGAACAGTACTGAGAGACTGCCATGAAGGAAGGCTTCACTGAGGCAAAACCTGTCCTCAACTTTGTTTACACTATGGACAAGGACACCTGTGAATACGGGTGAGAACTTTAAGGTGGCAAATCATACGAGAGGTAGCTAAGCCGGATGCAGTAGTGCACTCCTGAAATCCCAGCACTCCGGGAGGCAGAGGCAGGTGGATCTCTGTGAGTCTGAGTCCAGCCTGGTCTACAAAGTCCAGGACAGCCAAGGCTACACAGAGAACCCCTGTCTTGAAAAACAACAACAACAACAAAAGTAATAGCTAATGATGTACACACACCTGAATCCTAACCCAGCAATCACAAGCCTAGAAAGGCATGGGGTATGTGTCAGGTTATGTGTGTGCAGCACTCAAAAATATCTGTACAAGAATAGAACATATCAAACCAACAAGATATAAACAATTCAAAACATAATATACAAAGAAACCATTATACAGAAAACAGGGGCTGTGTGTGCTGGCTTGGAAAGATATCTAAGATACACAAAGGAAATAAAACAAGTTGAATTAGAGTTCACATAATAAATGCCAATCTTTGTACTGAGTACATACATACAACATGTACACAGGTGAGCGCACATGTAACACACACACACTCACACACACACGCACACACAAACTCTAGACTCCACACCAGCAAGAATATAGAAATAAATGAGACATGAGAAATGTTCCTTCTTCCCATCAGAACTTTCTGTACTGTTTTTAACCACATAATTTACATTAAAAACTAATCAAAATTTAAAATGAAAATGAAAAGCTACAAAATGGCCTTGTGGCACCTGCAGGAAGGGTGGTTTGAGACAGCTGAGACTGGAGTGGGGAGACGCCTCCGGCTTTGAGAGACACACAAATTCTCTCTAGTAACTTGTGAGGGACGCACTGCCAGCCTACAACTGGGGGCCCGAACCCCCGTGCAGCCGGGCACTGAACCGAGGTGTGTCTGGCCACAGCACCCTCCTTCCTCCTGGCACACCATGCCACATCTCTAATTAATGTGGGACGTAAAGAGGCAGTCAAGGGCTGGGCAGCACCACGCACACTTTCTTTGAAGAAGCCTGAGTGATTCACGCCCAATTAACCCCTTAGTCACACTGAAGTTTCTGAGTGCCCACGACATTTACACTATTTAAATGGACCCGATGTTGTGGCTAAAGTAGATTCTTAGTCACCCTGTTTCAAAACATGCTCTTACATTTGTCTTATAAATCTCTTCACTGGCCTGTGCTAATTCTCATGAAAGAACAAAAACTAGCTTAAGGCGATTTAAGTGCCCCCATTCTGGAGACTGAGCTGAAGGACTACCGCTGAGCTCTACCACTGAGCGGCATCCCTATCACCAACTTCCTGACCTGATGCTACATTGTAGTTGGGCAAACATACAACCATGTGACATTTGAGAAGCTCAGAGCAGCCCTGCAGGGCCTCCCTTCTCAGCTTCTGTTCTTGCCTTACAGTATTGCTCTACAGGACACGGTCTTCACCTTGCCACCTTAGGACTCGAAGATTTCTTCCTGCCAGCCCTATTTTCAGGTACTAGGCCCCTTAGCTGAGAGCTATCTGCCCGCATGAGAACTGGCCACGGATACTCAGAGCAGCTTTGTCACAGATCAAAACTAGAAACAGTACAAATATTCACGGCTACACAGCTCATCTACAGAATACTAGCCAGCACTGAAAAGAGCCACACTATGCATTACATAGTTGGTCTCCATAGTCATGGATTCTGAGCTTTTTAAATGCAACCAGCCATAGGTAGAAAATATTTAGTAAGATCAACTGTACTAAGGCACAGTAGTAGAAGCAAGAAATTCTATGTGCAATTGCATAGAAGTATAACTACAGAACACATGAAGGTACTGCACAGTTCACAGCTAGAAGGTATTCAAAAGTTTTCATGACACAAAATGATATTCAATGATCCAGATGGGATTTGACCTAATTTAAACACTGCATGTATCAAAACATCACAGAGCATCCTAGTAACAGGCATAATTTTTATGCTTTCATTGATCAATTAAAATCACCATAAATTAAAAATGACTATAACCTAGAACCTCTGCTCAGATGTAGCCCGTGGTAGCTCAGTAACCAAGTGGGTTTCTCTAGTAAGGGGAAAAGGGACTATTTCTGACATGAACTCATTGGCAGGCTCTTTGACCTTCCCACCCCCCAAGGGAGGAGCAGCCCTGCTAGGCCACAGAGGAGGACTTTGCAGCCAATCCTGAAGATACCTGATAAAACAGGGTCAGATGAAAGGGGAGGAGGTTCTCCCCTATCAGTGGACTTGGAAAAGGGCAGGGAGGAGATGAGGGAGGGAGGGTAGGATTGGGAGGGAATAAGGGAGCAGGATACAGCTGGGATACAGAATTAATAAAATGTAACTAATAATAAAAAAAATACATTATTAAAAAAGGTGACTTTTTGGGAAATTCTATCTGTATTGAACACGTATAGTACATTTTTCTTGTCATTTACCCCAAATCATGGAATACAATAACTTCGTAGTATCTGCTTTATATTCTAAGTACTTGAGAGATGGTGGGAGGCAGATGGAAGAATGTGTACTAAGCTGCACTGTTTTATAGGACTTGAACACCCATGAACTCAGGCATCCATCTGGGAGTTCTACCCCTGAGGACGCTGGGAGACAGCTGTACTTACAGAAGTAAGTGACCCTTGAAAGGTCACCTCATAACATAAGCCCATAAAGGTTTTCCAAGTGACAAAACTGCAGATATACAGAGCAGATATACTCAGATATACTCAGCTGCCAGAGGTTACGCTTGGTGGGGGCTTGCAAGTTAGGCAGCTAGAAAGGGGCAGTACTGGAGAGCTTGGGGATGCTAAGAAGGTTCTGTATCCTCTGGTGGCAGTGGTGGTTTCAGGAAACTTACATGATAAAATGCCACTGAACTGCACACACACACACTGCAATGCCAACTTCCTGTTATGATACTGCACTAGAGTTAAATAAATACACAGTCAATGGAGAAAACTGGGTGAAAGGTAGGTGGGATCTTGCAGTTTCTTGTAGCAGTTGCTTCTGCAATTGTTTCACGGTAAGGAATTTTTAAAAGGGAGATCTGGTGAACAAACACATATGGCAACCCTACCCTTCTCCTGTGCTCTTGACAGAGTCTTTGAAAGCTTGATTCGAGCCCTCAGCACAAGGGCAGACCGCAAGCCCTGTGGCCTGCTCTTGGACACCAGACACACCAGGTGGCTCACACCTGCAGCCTCTGCTCAGCAGCTCCATCTGCCTGGCCTGACTTCCCTGTCCCTCCCGCTCTTCTGGCCAGCATTCACCCTCCTTCAAAACCTAGGTCAAGGACCTCTTTCTAATGCAAGGTTCCCTGCTGGCCCTTTCCCTGGAAACAGCACCACGTGCTCCTTTCATTTGTGTGGGAAGCCCATCAGCTCTACTCTGAGCCCTTCAGTGGTAGAGGCCGTATCTGGCTGGTTTTTGAAGGCTGGTCCATTATACAGCCCGTAGCTTAAAAGTCAAGCTAAGTAAAAGGATAAATGTGGGAAGGCAGTGTGGAACCGGTTAAAGTCAAGTTTCAAGTCAACCTCCTTGTGGACCGGTCACTTATCCAGGACCAAGCAACTACCCTCATCTGTAAAACAGGGATGAGGATAGCACCTCAGGACACCCCTAGATGAGAATTCAGCTCACCTGAGGAGGCACTGTGACCTGAGTTCACCCTCAATCAGAGTGCCATCCAGACTCACCTATACTTCTCGGGAAACTGAAACACTACACTACACTGCAGAGACGTCATCAGTAAAATCCAACCATGGAGGCACTCCAGAGCCACCAGCTGCTTATGAACTACAAGGAAAACAGAAGAGAAGCAGGGAAAGCAACAAACCGAAGAAATTTAGCTGAGTGTGGTGGCTTTTGACTGTAATTCTAGCACATGGGAAGCTGAGACAGGAGGATTGCCATGGATTTGAGGCCAGCCTGGGCTACAATGTGATATCATGTCTAAAAGAAGAAACAAACAAAAACAAAAGAACAAAAAACCCCAAACCAATAAACACCCCAAAAATAAAAACCAACAGAGAAAGAAAATGACATCAACCAATAATCACAACATAAACCTGCCTCCACTTTGAAATGATTACAGAAACTATAAAATACTTAAGACACCTAGACTGGTTACTTGATGCTATGAAAGAATTATTGCTTTTAAAAGTTTAAGAGATGAGCATGGTGGTACACGCCTTTATTCCCAGCACTAGTGAGGCAGAGGCAGGTAGAGCTCCATGAATTTGAGGCCAACCTGGACTACAGAGCTAATAATTCCAGTACCAGGGCTACACAGAGAAACCCTGTCTTGAAACCAAACCAAACCAAAAAAAGTTTAATTGAGCCACTGGTTAGAGAAACAGGCTAAAAAGTTCATGGACAGAATGATGTGAGATTTGGGATCTGTTTGAAAATCCCCATCATAAACAATTAACAGACTGCTGTTGAAATCAATTCACACAGAGGCCAAGTACAAACCATTAAGAATTTTTTTTCTTAATAAAATTACCACCTTCCTAGCCAGGTGTGAAAGCTAACTTCATATGGACAGAAACAGCAGCCCTGCTGATAAATCAAGTTTCTTTACAAATCAGATTTTTGTTTTATCTTCTACATAATACTTTTTAAAAATTGGTTCACTCATTAGTAATTACTTTGTTTGGCATTTTTCTTTATTCAGAAGGCTAAAACTTTTTTTCATTTGAAACTGACAAATTCAAGTATACCCTTGACCATTTATTTAAGGGATGGAACAAAGCCATTTTCAGCTGTTAACAAGTTATTATAAGGTCCCTGCAAATTAAAACCTCAGGAAAACCAAAGTTCTCCAGAGATTATGCCCCAAAAAAGACAATTATTTTTAACCATGCAGGACTCTTCTGAAGGGGCGGGGGGACACATTTATAGATTGGCTATTGTTCTTCCAGAACAAACTGAAAGCCAAACACAAATAGAACTGAGAACGGTAGATTGAGGGGCAATCTGGGTTCAGGTTCTCACCAGCTGCTGAAGCACTCTGAGCCTCCATTTCTTCCTCTGTGAAACCCAGTTTCACAGCTGCCATTCACAGGGGGCTAGTCACACTCAAATGAGTACCTGTCCGGTATCTGGGTGAACAGGGCCTAGCTCCTCTGGCCTCGGGCTACTGTTCCTGCTCTTCACTGCTTCTCCCTCCCACACAGCCAGCTCAGGAGGTTTAGCAATGCTGCAGGAGGTCCGCATTTGGCTTGGCACCAAACAGCTAGTTTTAATTAGCTATTGCCAACAATGAAAAATCAGAGTCTAGGTACAAAGTTGGATTCTTGGCTTTTACAAAAATTGCTGAGTGAAGTTCTGGGGTCTCTACCATTCTACAATCTCACCCTGCTTTGGAGGGCGGATTCCTGGCTCCACACTGGGCAAAGTTCCTTGTTGATTTAGCCCTTTCGCTTTCTGTGTCTGCCTCTGCTTAGGGCTCACCAACACCCTCAACCCTGTGTCTCCCATTTCTAGGGCACAGACCCTTCACAACTGGTGTTATATCCTGACCTGGAACTGTGTGTGTGCCAGCCTGCTCTATGGGGCTCCTGGGCTCTCTGGGAGAAGGTACCCTGTTGCTATCTCTTTTGTGTCCCTAGAGTCCAGCAGAAAGCATGACCTAGATAATGCAGAATTCAGTAGATAACTCCTAATTGTGTGAAAGGAAGCTCAAGCAAAACTCTTACCAAAATATAAAATTTTTAATCATAAATTGTTCTGACAGCTACTAGAGATTTTTAAAAACATTAAAATATTTCGCAAAATGAGAATACGAGTCTGTTTGCTTACAAGTTTCACATGTTAAAAGTCACCAACATAAACGGACAAAGCAGAGATAACAGGCAGGCAGGGATGGTCTTACTGCTCATTCACCAAGCAGACACTACTGAAGACAGTGAATATATACCAGACAACTACCTGTATTCACAATGCTATAGAAAACGAATAGGGCAAGAAATCTGATAGTATCAAACCAGAGTAGGTGTTAGAAAGAAAATCAAAGAAACTGATGCACTAGAATGACTAAGCGAGGGAAAAGGGTGGTCAAGGCAGGCCTCACCAATAACAAGACACTGAACCACAGGAGGGAGCAGTATGAGAGAGACAACGGGATAAAAATCTTGCAGACAGCTCCGAATGTGGAAAATTGGAAGTGCAAAGATCCTGAGGTAAATAAATGGTTTTGGCATGTCCAAGGCAAGTAAGCTGAGTGGGATAGAGAGGGCTGAGCTCTGCCTCAGTTAAAGAGGCGAAGGAGTAGCAAAGGAGGTGGGCAGGGCCCACTCTGGCTCTGCTGGGCACTGAAGATGAATGACAAGGCACTGGGGGAAGCGAGAAGTGGGGGAGGGCTCTAAGCGATTGAGGGAGATTTCCTAAGACACTCACACCAGCAAGGGAGCATTCCCCCACCCTGATGCCCTCAAATGTGCGCTCTGGGCTTCAGCCCTAGCGCTGAGACAGCCACACTACCCAATAACAACCCCGACCAAACCCTACACATTCTACCACTGCTCCGAGGGGAAAACGGCCGGCCGGTGAGGGTCAGAGTCCCCGCCAAGGTCGCGGGGACCAGAGCCCAGACTACTGGGCATCCAGCTGGGTGCAGCTGCGCGCCTCACAGCTGGAGAGAAGGCGTCCACAGACCCCCGCGGGCAGGTCTGCTGGGGCTCGGCCAGGCGGCGGGCCTGCAGCCCGAGGCTGCAGACAGCAAGCGGGAGAGAGCGACTGAGGAACCGTGGAGAGCCAGGCAGGACCGAGCAGCCCACGCCCCACGCCCCGCAACCCAGGCCCCGCGCGGCCCGAGCAGCCCCGCCAGGCCTAGCCGCCCGCCGGGCTCACCTCGGCTCCGCGCCGCCGCGCCGGAGGCAGAGGGAGGGCGCACTGGCGGCGATGCGTTCTGGCGGTTCTCAGCTCCGCGGCCCGGACCTGGCCGCCCCGCCCCACTCTGCTCCGCCCCGTCGCCGCCGCAGTGGGTGTGAGGGGCGCGGGGCGCTGCGACCCTTCCGGTCCGGTTCCCTTCTGCTCTGCTGCCGCCGCCGCCGCCGCCGCCGCCGCGGCGCTCAGTCTGATGGATCCTCGGGTTAGCCAATCAGGACAAGGATAGCCGAGCAGGCGGGGCCAATCGCGACAGCGGGGCGGGCCGAGGCTGAGAAGTACGGGCGTGGCTGGAGACTTGGTGTGGGCGGGGCCAGTGGCTCTCTCTGGATACTCTAGGGCAGAGTGGCGCCCCCTAGGCTGCGTCCGAGCCTGGCCGTCTGCTTGCTCCATGCTCGCCTGCCAGTGTGCCCTGAGGGCTAGGGATCCAGGCCAAGCTAGGACAGTCTCCCGAGCCCGCCCCCCACCCCCAGGGCCAGGGGACTCGCATGCGCCGGAGAGGGTGGACCCAGGGGAACGGGAGCAGGGGAGGGAAAAGGCGTGGCTTTGCTACAGTGTAAGAGTGGTAGTCAGGCCTCAGTGGCAGCAGGTGCAAGCGGAGAGGCCGCCTGGATAAGGACTGGAGACGACGGGGTTAGACAGGAGTCTGGGACAGGGTCAAGGCCTTGGAGCCCAGCAACCTTGATTATAACCGCCCCAGAGAAGGAGAGGGGAGAAACGCGGGGCCTTGGGGTCTGTTGCTCACTAAAGTGTGTGCGCTGCGCATGACACACTGTATAGGCTCTTAACAGGGTTGGGGCCAGATGTCCAGGGAGTGAGGGTTGGAGAGGTGGCGACTATGACCCTGGGGAGTCAGTGATGGAGTTATGGCCTAGAGAGCACTCTTGAAAGAGGCGAGTTTCTGCTTCAGTGTAGAGGAGCAAGGAGGGCGTTCGATGCTGAAGGACTTCTAGACAGTCCTGGATGGATAGTCTTTGACACTGTTGCTTTTATTGCCTCTCCTGAAGCCCTTGGGCTCTCAGATAGGTTCCAGCAGGCCTGAGGGCGTAAAAGATGTTTGGAAAGCACAGAATTTAGTGTGCCGACTACTCTGGGTTTTGATAGAAAGCCTGCAAGTGAGACGCGGAGGTTGGACTCACTCGGGAGAAGCTCAGAAGCTCTAGACAGGATAGGCTGAGGGCTGGCCTTGAAGGGATTGGAAAAATGGAGACAGTGGTTGACAAGTAGTGGCTAGAGTGGTAGGGCTGGTGGTGGTAGTCACAGGAGGCCAAGGAGTAGCCAGGAATAAGAACCCTGCTCCTAGGAAGGTCAAGAGACTAGGAGGCCCCCGAATCTCGGCAGAACTTGAAGAGAGCTGTAACCCTGTGACTCAGGTTTCAAGTACTGGGCCAGGGTGGTGGAGGCACTGGCCTCCGAAGAGCAGTGGGATAGAGAAAGGGACCCAGTCAATCACGGTGTCCCTGATGACCGAAAAGCACCTTGGGGAGGAAAGGGTCTATTTCTGCTTTCGACTCTCAGGTCGCTCTGCATCAGAGTAAGGAACTCAAGGGAGGAACCAAAGCGAAGGCTTCCTGGCTTGCTCAGCTTGCTTTCTTACACACCCCAGAGCCACCTGGTTAGGCATGGCACCGCCCCCAGTGGGCTGGGTCCTCCCGCATCAGTCAGTAATGAAGAAAATGCCCCCACAGACTCTGCTGACCATTTTCTCAGTTAAGATAAAACCCAACCAACCAGCGGAGTCCTCCTTTGGCCACCCCCACCTTGGCCACCAGGGGGAGTATGGTTTAGTCCTGCTTAAAAATCCTCCCAGCTCCTGAGTGCGCAGCCTTCAGAAAGGTTCGTTTTGTGGGCTTCTGTCCACACCTGTCCTCCTCACCTCAGCTCTCCCCGTCACCTGCTTTAGGATCACCACAGAAAACAGAGCCAGCGATTGGCATTATTAAAAACCAGTTCAGCCTGGCTGTCACAGTTGCAGTTTCCCTGAAGAACAGTAACCAGTGCTCCCCCTCAGATTAGACTGGACCTCCAATTCCCAGGCACCCAAGGCAGGCTTCTTAGCACCAACCCAGTGCAAAGTTTACTAGCCACGAAGCATCACGCATGCGTTAGCCCACTGCGTTTTCCATCCGGATTCTGTTCATTCTACAGACAGCGCTCTTCCTTCCGCTTTTACGAAATAATGGTAGACGTACACACGGAAGCAGAGCTGAGGTGACAGGACAGGGTGGGATGGAATGATGATGCCGGTCCGCACTTTGAATGAGTACACCGAATCCTGGCGGAGGCCTACAAGCGCAAAGATCCGGCCACAAGCGTGACCCGAATCCCATGTACGGACACGGGCACCCGGTTACCCTGGTCACACAGGTAGAAAAGTGGGAGGTGGGGAGGCTCTTGGCAGAAGGAAATCCTTCCTGAGTCTGGGAAGCCAAAGGAAAGTGCTGCTGACTCTGTGACTTTGACACACGTTTGGGCCAGGTCTCAGATAGGCGAGGGTCATGTGCGCTGTGTCCAGGGAACCACAGCCACCTACCCCGGCAGGAGAGGAAGTTGGAGATTGGAGTTAGACAGTCCTGGGGATGGGCTGGCTTTGCTGAGCACGGGCTGATGGGCACACAGGCTGCCTTCTGCTCCCTGCTGTGCCTTCTTTAGCTAAACGGGTTTGGGTAGGTGGTTGCTTTTTTTTGACGTAGTTGCATCTTCTAAAAATTGAGAGAATTTCCAAAACAAAAGCAAAAGGGGCCAAACTCTATTGTTGGCTTCTCTTTATCAAGGGCAGTGGTCATGGGGAACTGGATGGAAGATTCCTCTTCAAGTGAGGCCCCAATTTTTCTCCACCCTTGATCTTCCCGTGACCCACACCTAGCAGCATTTCACCCTTACCTGCCAGCCTTTGCAGATAAAGGGCAGCTGCTGAAGGTGTCAATCAAGGATTTAAGTGAGAGGATTCAACGTGTGTTTTAGAAAGATCACTAGGGCTTGTAACGGGTGAAGAATGGTGGACTCAAGGCCACGAGGCCAGTTGAGAACTTGGGCAGAGGCCATTTTGAGAGACGGAAGCCAGGGTTGGGTGCCATGGTAGCAGGTGCCAAGAGAAAGGAGCTGATTTTAAAACCGCTTCAAAACTTAAGGGGAATATAAATCAATCTCCAATGAGCTATCACTACATAGCTACCAGGAGTAGCGCACTAAAATCTAATAGCAAGTGTTGGGGGGGGGGGGACATGAAGCAATTGGAACACTCATGCCCTGCTGGTGGGAAGGCAAAATGATAAAATACTTTGCAAAATGGTAGAGTAATTTTGAATAAAGCTGAAAATACAGTGGACAGGCCATCCCAACCATCCCGATCCTCCTTTCTGTGGCTTCTAGTCTCTCTTCTGCCCTGACTCCTGGTTCTACCTACCCCTTGATGCTCTGGCAGACAGAGGCTATCCACTTGCCTGTCCCACACTGACCTCTTTGTCAGGAAGGAGAGGGCACAGAAAGCCTGAGTCCTGGGCTGGAATGCTGGGATAACAAGGATTTGTCCAGAGGCCTGCTTCCCATGCAAGCTCTGAACTGAGAGTTTTCTGGCCTGCATTCCAATCTGACTCTGCTTATCAGCAATACTCCCCTGGGCAAGGGATTAGCTCCCCCAAGCCTAATTCTGTGGGAAGTAGTAAAGACAGTGATTATGGCCTGTTGGGGATGCTGTGATAGGATAGAGTCCCTGAGAGTGGTTCTCACTCAGGCTCCCTCTGCCTCCCTCTCCTCCCTTCCTGCTGCTCTCAAATACTTCTCTTCTCCCAGCTGAGGAATCTACCTGAAGATCGTTTCAACTGTTTTGTAGAGGAAAACAGCTGTGCACAAGCCAATGGGGACAAGTATGGTCTATCTGTAGGTGTGGTGTGTGTATGTGTATTTGTGTGTGTGTGGTGTGTATGTGTGTATACGTGTGTCTGTTTGTGATGTGTGTCTGTGTCTGGTGTGTGTGTGTGTGTATGTGAGAGAGAGAGAGAGAGAGAGAGAGAGAGAGAGAGAGAGATTATATGTAGTACCAGAGGCAGGCTACTTTATAAAGAGATGTGAGACCAGGGACTTAACTCAGCCATAGAGCTCTCGCCCACTGTGGTGGTGAATTTTTTGTCATGAACTTCATTAGAGTGAGAAGTGACTGAGAAATCAATAAAATACACATCCAGATGTCTTTGGGACTGCTGCCAAAGACTGACTAAGAGAGGAACCCCACCCTGAGGCTAAGTGGTACTCCATAGGTTGGGGCTTAGATGTAATAAAAGAGGCAAAGCAGAGTCAGCCCCAAGTAGGGATCTCCCCTCTCTGCTTCCTAGCTGCTGCGAGGTGAACTGCCTTGTTCCTCCGTGTTCTCCCTGCCAGGATGGAATGAGTCTCTGAAACCATGTGCAAAGGAAACTCTCCCCTCAGTTGTTCCTTTTACTTACTGTACCACAATGATGAGAATAAAAGGCACAGAGCAAGCGAGAGGCCCTGGTTCAACCCCTGGCACCCTGAGAAATAAACCTAACCTAGAAACCCTGACAACAGTTAAGAAGAAATGTTTAAGGGCGTGGGGTGCATGATAATTCAAAGGAAGACCAGAGTTCAGTCCCCTAGACCCCCCATTTTAAAAGCTGAGCATGCTGGCTTCTATTTATAATCTTAGACCTAGAGAGACAGAGACAGGTGGATTCCTGGGGCTCAGTGGCCAGACAGCCTACCCTAATTGTGATCCTGGGGTCCCAGCAAAAGATCTTGTCTCAAAAATGTACAGTGGATGGTGCCTGAGGAGGAATGGTCCCCAAGGTTGCCCTCTGGTTGGTGGCCACATGCATACATACATGCACACAGAGAGATTTGTTTTGAAGTGTGGTTGGAAGTCCAGCCTTATCTGGCTATGGGTTTCTTGCTGGCAAAGTCTCCAGTCCATCCAGGGCACCCTATCATTTGAGACAGAGACTGTATGCTTGCATTACGTATCTGGTCTTCTCCTCATAAAACCACCAGACGCCTATCCTAATCTTAATGACCTTATCCAATCCTAATCATTTCCCTAGGGCCTTAACCTCTAAACACCATAACTGAAATAACTTTCCACCTCTTCATACCTCACAGTAGCCCCGGAGACCACTCCCACTGAAGCAGAACCACAGCAGGACACGTGCTGGGGAGTGTGTGTACACTGTGCACTGTGGTGAAAGCGGGGTGGGGGGGGAGTGGGAGGAAGCCTCGGGGACCAGGGATGGAGAAGCCAGGGATGGGGAAGGGGTCCACTCAGGGAACTGTTCTCGTAGTATCTACACACACGTCAGTCAGCTGGGTTAGACCCGGGCTTACAGGACGCCATCACAAGTGAGTGGACTGAACTGGCTGGAAAATGTGGTCGTGGAGGGATAGATTCTCTGATATCTGGAAGGTGTAGAGGTGACATGGAGGCCCAGCTGAGGGGCTTGTGTCGAATGGAGGCAGACACTCAGGACTGTAGAGCCGGAGACTGAACGTTGTGGTCCTCAGGCCTTTCTCTAGACATTTGCCACAGTGCCAGTAGCTGGGCCCTGGCTCCCAAGCCTAAAGACCAGAGAGCTTTTCTGAAAGTCAAGCTCCAAAAGGACATTGACATTATGCATCCCACAATGCCTAGGGTTTCCTAGCAGGGACTGTCCATGTCAACAGATGGGTGAGGAGAACTGATCATCTGCCTTAACTGGACAAGGCAGTCTAAGGCCATACAGAAGAGAAGATTGATACAGTCAAACAGAAAACTGAATCTTACCACAGAGAGAGAGAGAGAGACTAACCAGAGGATAAATTCCAAAAGAAGTAAAAATATTATTGTTGGCTTCAGAGTGACTGAAAATTTATTACACCCTGAGACAAAAGCCAGCCATTCAGAAGCTGTTCTGAATACTCATTAATGACCTTGGTCTCAGGTGAGGTGGCCTAGAGGTAATCACATCCCTGCAGTAGAAAACATACCCGGAGCAAAGCTTTTGCTTCTAAGACTCGTCTCTGTTTTCTCTGACAGAGGAACCAGGAGTCACTAGAGATATGGTAGATCCAGGCTGGTCAGGAAATGTACGAGTTGGATCTGGAGTGGAGTGCAGTATGAATCAGGAAGTACTTACAAAATACACAGACAGACCCAGAATGATGGGGGGGGGGGGGGGCGGAAACACAGAGGCCAACACAAACAGCTCCCAGCAGCCTCCGCTAGGATCTTAGCAAATAGCACCTGACAACAGCACCTTGGCAGAGGCTAAATCTGGCACTGACTGCCTCAGGTAGGTTAATATCAGACCAAGTTTCACACCAATAGTTAACACGACAATGTCGGTAGTTTGTGTCCTTGAAATGAGGTGATGAGAACATTGCTCTTCCTCCCAGGTCCATAAACCCATTCTAAACCAAGGAAAACATCGACAAACTGGTGGGCATTCTACAAAATCCCTACCTGTGGTCCTTAACACTTAAGACATTAAGTTCCTACTGGATAGGTTGGTTGTAGATAGAGTAGTAGCAATAGTTAGGGAGAGAAGAACGAACACATTTCCTAACGGGTTGAACTGAAAGACGAGATTGACGACAGGAAAGAATGCTTAGACCCATCCCATTAAACAGCTTCAAGCGCTGAAGCAGGCATTCTATTTTATGGACAGGGGAAAGGAAACAGAAACGTGCAACAAAATAATTCGAGATTTCTTAGAACCCTCAGGCTGGACAGATGTCTTAGTGATTAACAGCTCTGGATGTTCTTCCAAAGGACCTGGGTTTGATTCCCAGTAACTCACACACATAACCTTCTGTAACTCCAGTCACAGGGGATCTGGCACCCGCTTCTGGCTATCACAGGGACCAGGCACACATATACATGTGGGAATATACCTAAAATAATTTTAAAAAAAGTTCTCCAAATTTCTTGACTGAGGTTAACATCAAATGAAGAAACCCAAGGCACTACACTGCAGTATTTGAGGACACAAGAAACAAAAAGAGAATTTTTAAAAAAGGAATAAAAGTCACCAACAAAGACATATCAGGCTGATTTTGGACTTGATAGCAACACAAGAAGCAAGAGAATGGAAAATTCTATTTTTTTTCTGACTTAAACGTCTATATTAGGCAAACCTTCGTTGAAGTGTAATTAATAGTTTTCTGATCTAATAAGTTCTCAAAAATTACCTCCTGCCATGGTCTATTGGATTTGTGTTTCTCCCCCAATATGTTTATATCCCTACCTCCCAGTGATGGTAATGAAAATGGATCTAGGCTATGAAGGTGACTCAGTGGCTCCAGCAAGCATGACGAGCCGGAGTTTGCATCCCTATAGCACCCATATAAAAGCCAGGATGGTGGCCTGCCTGCAATCCCAGCACTTAGGAAGGAGACTGAGCATCCTCAGGACATGCTGGCTAACCAGACTAGCCAAAGTAGCAAACTCTGGGCTCAGAAAGAAAATCCGCCTCAATAGATAAAGCGGAGAGCAATCCACAAAGACACCCAGGGCCAACGTCTGCACACACACATACATGTGCTCCCACACACGTACAAACATGCATATACACGCGTGCACACAGACACTAAAGTCAGGCCTTTACAGAGTGACTGGGTCATGAAGGTACAGCCCTCATGAATGGAATCAGCACGATTTAAAAGAAGCCCTGGGAGCTCACTTGCCTCTTGCACAGTGAGATGGTACAAAGAGACATTCCGGTGGGGACCAAGAAGCAGGCTTTCCCACATACTAAGACAGCAAGTGCCTTGATCTTGCATTCTCAGCCCCTGGAGCAATGAAAAATACCTCTTAACAAGGAGTAAACACAACACACGGATGAACCACTGGGGCACACATTCAACTCCTATCCAAACTGTACCACTAATGATGGACTGTTCCCACCAAACACTGCTCAGACCCTCAGATATAAGAAAATGAGGTTAACCGAATCCAAACAAACAGGAGGGAAAAAAAAAGTTGCACTGTCTTTATTGATGTAAAACTGCATAGTACATTGATTGCGCACGCTTTTAAATAGAGCAGGGCAGGCCCCAAGAAACCACCCTCTTGTATGGGGCATTTCAGGCTGGTTTTACTGTGAGTAGGAGCAGGGGCCAAAGTGCTGCCAGGACTTTAGAAAAAAGAAGAACCATAATCTGATTAAGCAGAAGTCAGAGAGCTGAGGGATTTGAGCCATCTGAGAATACTGAAAGGAGCAGAGACTTTAACGGGGCTGAGGGGAGGCATAGGAAGAGGGTAGGGGGACTCACTGATGTCAGGGGACAGGGGCAGCTTGTGAAGGGAGGAAAAGGAGAGAGGAAACAAAGGGCTCATGCCTTGTACCCAAAACTGAGATGAACGACAGTCGCCAGGGATAGCACACCGGGTAGCCCAGGCGCATGGTCAGGGCGTTGCCATGGCTACAGAATGCCACATACTAGAAAAATAACTTAAAAGCTATACAGTCACCATTATAAATATTTTGTCTTTTAAAACTAGCTAGTGTCGGTTAAAAAAAAAAAAAAAAGGTTCACAGTTACTCTGCAGAGAGCGGTATCTCTATTGCACAGTAGCGGAAAGTCTGCTCTGATCCCCGTGTGTGTAAACAATTCCTTCTCCTAAGGGACTTCAGGACACAGAGAAACAGCATTTGCTGTAAGCAAAGCACTTAGGTGCAAGGCACGTCAAAGCTGTCAAGCTCTGCTGGGAGCACAGGAGACCCGCGGAAGGCCCACTTCCTTTCCCACGTGGCATCTCTGCAGTTGGTTCGGGTCTTGAATCAGACTGCAGGTGGCGATGGTCTTGTCACGGAAGCCCTGTTCTCATTCCACAGTGACAGACTTGGCTAGGTTTCTGGGGAAGTCAACCTAAAAAGACAGACAGGAGAGCACAGGATGAAGCTCACTTGATAAGAGTCCCTGCTTAGCAGGCACGAAGACGTGGGTTTCATTCGCAGTACCTCACGAAGCAGGCATGGAGGTACACAGACTTGGAAGGCAGGAAGATCAGAAGCTCAAGGTCAGCCTCTATTATATAGTGTCCCAGGGGTGTCAGCAACATGCTGTTCCTTGCCAGTCACCTCCAGTCATAATCTAAACACGTAATCTATCTGAAAGTGGATTTTTCTTTCTTTTTTCTTTAACTGCAAAAAGCTCCCTTTAACTGTTTACTTCACTCAATAAATATTTATCATGAATTGACACGTACCCTGTTGCGTTATTTATATACTTTAAAACAGGCAGTTTTGTGGGTGCTGTTAAAAAGAAAAGGTCACTTTTCAGTTAGGTATGATGGTGCTCTCTTGTAATCCTAGCACTTGGAGGCTGAGGCAGACAGACTTGAGTACAGGCAGCCAAGATCTGTATAATGAATGCAAGGCTAGCCTGGGCTACATAGCAAGAGGCTATCAAAAGGAACATGCAGGGGTTAGGGAGATAGCCTCATGGGCAACAGTTCCTACCGTTCTTCCGGAGGGCCCAAGTTCCAGCCCTACCATCTATATCACAACTGCCCATAACTCCAACTCCAGGAGATCTGAGGCACTCTTCTAGCCTCCGCAAGAAAACTTGGAAGGCAGGAGGATCAGAAGGTCAAGGCCAGACTCTATCACATAGCAATTTGTTCAGTATCTCACAGGTGCCAGTACCACGCTGTTTCTGCACTAATGTACCCAAAACCACAAACACACACCAGTTAAAAACAAAGCTTCCACAGGCAGTGGTGGCTCACATCCTTAATCCCAGCACTCAGGAGGCACAGTCAGGAGGATCTCTGTGTTCGAGGCCAGGCTGGTCTACAGAGTGAGTTTCAGGATAGCTACGGCTACACAGAGAAATCGTGTCTCAAAAAACAGAAACAAAACAAAAAAGAACAAAGCTCCAGCAAAAAGAAAATAAAAAGAGCAAACAAACAAACAAAAAATCCACTTTTTTTTTTTTTTTTTTTTTTTTTTTTTTTTTTTTTTTAAGGATGGGGTGTAACTTAGAGATAGTTGTTTGCAAAGCAAATATAAGACCTTGGTTTGACCACCAGCGCTGGAAAAACTAATTAATGGAAAAAAAAATTCACGTTTTTGGAAGGATGCACATGAATTTCACAAGACTTGTTACTCTGAGTAAAAGCTGAGGAAAAATATGATTGGGGACGGGTAATAAGGTGGTCTTCTACTTGGCTTGCAAAAAGATGTTTTGTTTATATGTTAAGAAAAGATGAAACAAACGCAACAAAAAGTTATCAAGCATCAACGTGAATGATATACATTTAGATGTCTGAGACATTATTCTCTGCACTCTTATAATTTTGTAAGCTTCTCAAAATAAAATTATGACACAGCATCTATCTTTTGCACAGTTAATTGTGTTCTTACGCATTTGCTAAAGAGATCATAAACCGACTCTTTTCTGGGGTGTAAGTTGGATGTCAGAAGTCTCAAAATGTCAAATCATTTTCTCCACAGTGGTAACTCTTAAATGTGGGACAAAGACGTGCCTCCAAACACGTCCACTGTGGTATTATTCATAAAATGAAAAACTGGAAACAGCAGACCAGTTAGGCGGTTGTTCAGAAAACCATGTTAAAATGTTTGCAAATGTCATCAGAGAGGTGTCTCAGTAGCTAAGAGGGTCTGAAAGGGTCATTAAAAAAAATTAAAAAAAAAACTGTATTGATAAAAAAGAAACTTTAGCTTTTGGTTTCTCATCTTTGCTGTGTTCATGTAAATCTTAGGCTTACGTCATAGCCTCGGAGGACAGCCAGGTGGAAGGACAGAAGTTGGAGTGGGATCACGCTCAGGATGCCCTGGAGACAGTCCACCGTGTGGGGCAGTTCAATGGTTTTATATGCGAACTTGGAACTCTCCGTGTCATCCTTGGAACACAGGATGATTGGACGACCCTAAAGCAGAGAGAGACGCTCGTGAAATACCGTGTCTCTGAAAGAAGCAAACCCTCTCCTACACTCAGCATAGTTTCTGGAAGTTTCTCAAGTCAGCATTACCGTAGGGATGATATCGATCCTTTGACTTTGCCAGAATTACCAGTGAGGTCCTGAGCATGCCACATGTAAAGGGCAGTGTGTGGTGATTCTTCCCCTTTCCTGGTCAGGTGACTGCGCCTTGCATCATCATTCAGCATCCACTGGTTGACTGGCTTCACCAGTGCCTTGTCCTGACCTACTCTTAACTCTGACGGTCTTCATGACGCAGTGATAAGAATAAAATCATGAACAAAGATGAACTGAGGACATGTGGATATTAGATGTGGAATTGTGGATATGAATATGTGGATAAATGTCACAGGGACAATAAAACACGAGTGAGAGATGTTGATAAGTTTTATGATGTTAACACTGACTGTCAGTTTGACCAGGTCTAGAATCACCTGGGAGACAGGTGTTCAAGAACACCTCTGAGGGATTATCCAGAGTATGTCAATTGCGGTGGGATAACACATTCTGAAAGTGGGTGGTGCCACTCCCTTGGCTTTGGTCCTGGATGCCATAAAAAAGAGAAAGTAAACCGGGGCCAGAAAATGCGTTTTCACTAGCTGCTTCCTTTCTCAAACTCCTGCTACTGATGGACTATAGCCTTGAGCCATGAGCCAAACAAGTCCTTTAATTGCTTTTATCAAGGTATATCAAGGTATTTTAATCACAGCAACCAAGAAGTAACTAAGCAGGGACTGTCTCTGACATGAACTGATTGGCCTGCTCTTTGATCACCTTCCCCTGACGGGGGGGAGCAGCCTTACCAGAACACAGAGGAAGACAATGCAGCCAGTACTGATGAGACCTTATAGACTATGATCAGAAGGGAAGGGAGGAGGATGTCCCCTATTAGTGGACTTGGGGAGGGGCATGTGTGGAGTAGGGGGAAGGAGGGATGAGATTGGGAGGGGAAGAGGGAGGGAGCTACAGGGGGATACAAATTGATTAAGTTCTAATTAATAAAAATTAAAATTAAAAAGAGAAGTAACTAAGAAGTTTGGGAGGGCAAAGCCAAGCAAGCCAGGTCTATAGCAAGTTCAAGCCAGCCTTGACTACACAGAAAGAGCCATGCAGCTTTTTGCACGGGACTATGAAACAATTTGCCTTAAAAACCCCTACCTTCCCCTCAAAGCAATAGGAAGAGCCAGTGTGAAGGTTCAGAGGAGAGAATGAGCTTGGCATGAGTGGGAATCAGGACAGGGAGAACACCTGGAACACAGTGGGATGTGAAAAAGGGCCACATGATGCAGAATAGGGGAGGTTACCGTAGTTTGACAGGAAGCTGTGAGAGGGTTTTCAGAAGACAATGACTCAGTTACGGCTTTAGACTAGCTCGCGAACCATTGCTCTGAGATACGTGTGGCCATGGCTGGCTGGCTTGCTTTAAGCATCTTACTGGATATCGTCTACCTGTGACTTCATGAATCTACGTGGTTTCTGCCCTCCCATCTCCACAAGGCCAGAGAATAATATATCTGGCGGGTTAGTTCCTGGGAGGAAGCCGATCTACCTTTGGACTTTCAGCAATTAGAAATGCCACTGTTCACACTGGATCCCTTAGACTATATGTGAGTTTATTGCTAATAAGATAACTCACTTCCAGAATGGGGACTGCCTATGCTGGAATGATAAACTGTGATTAGAAAGTTGACCTGTGAGTCACGAAGAACAGAAGTGGGGCTGGAGAGCAAGTTCTACCACATGGTCAATGAGTTACCCAGCCACGTTGGCTTAATGGAACCTTTCCTGCTTAAAGGAAAGTCTTGAAGGAGCTCAAGGGAGCTCCTTGGTGACACACATCAATGTACTTGGATGGGACTCAGTGCAAGGACATAGAGGCCCCCTATCTGGGACCCTCAGACTGTGGCTCTTTTCCCTGGGGCAGGCCCCAATTTGAATCCATTACAACAATACTTTAATAGTAAACATTGCACTTTCCTAGGTTCTGCGAGAGAATTACTGAACTTGAGGGGTTTGGGGAACCTCCAAATTTGCAGCCAGTCTGAGGCTTGGGTGCCCCTTAGTTCCTAATGTGGGGGTTCGGATGGGAGGGCGGTCTCATGAAGAACTGTGTACTCACCCTGGGAAATCTGATTGAAAAGTCAGCATCAGAATTACATTATAGCAACCGTGGGAGGAAACTCCACCCCTAGGATGCTACCTTGGAAGCACCCCCTCTGTCTCCAGCCCTAGGATCCAGGGCAGCTCAGTGAGGGTCTGCTCACTGGCCCTCGCTGAAGATCTGAAGGATATGACCTCAGGCTCGCTGGTTCCCTATCAGATTTGCACGGCATTCCAAAGGTCCCAAAGGGCCAGTGAGATGACGGATATGTCTCTACCCACAAGCCTGAAGATCTGTGCTCCAGCCCCAGAATCCACAGAACAGAAGGAGAATAAGTAGCTCCTCCTTTGTCTGCCACGCACCAGCCATGGCATGTACGTGTGGAAGATGAATGTAGAAGAAAGGGGACAGGACACCCACAGGCAGTAGTGGGGGCAGTGGGTGAGGGGGGCAGGAGCAGAACAGGAGAGCGGAGACCTCAGTCCCTAGGAGATCCCTCACCTGGCGGGCAGTGACCTGCTGCAGGGCGTTCTGGCATTTGGCAAAGCAAGGATCCTTCATGATGACCATGATGACCGGCATCTGTTTGTCAACGAGCGCCAGGGGCCCGTGCTTCAGCTCTCCAGCCAGGATACCTTCTGAGTGCATGTAGGTTATCTCTTTAATTTTCTGGGAAGACAGACGTTAAGATCAGTGTCACAATGGGAAGGCAGACGGGCGCATAAATGGGTCAACAGTGACAGAGCATGGGCTGCTGTCCAGAGTGAACAAAGCCCAGATCACAACCTTGCAGACCCCAGGCCGACAGTGACACCTCCCTTCAGTTCCATGCACAGCCATCCACTCAGTCCAGTTTGCCTTCGCCCCCACCTCCACCCCCTCAGCAAGCCACGTGGCCTCCCCAGTTACCACAGATAATGGTGGCATTGTATTCTGCTTAGATATGCTCTTATTCAATTAGCTGGTTAACCATTCTCCCACTTTTAGATCCTTAATCACATCCAAACAGTTGCTTAGATTGACCTATTCAGTAAATTCCCACGCCCTGGGCTGTTGTTTGAATTGTTTTCCCCTTTGTTCGGGTAGATCCATTTCCACTCATTTACCATCAAGTAGTCTTCATCACTGCGCTGATGAGAACGTTACAGAAAACGTTCCTCCAAGAGTCTAAAGCTAGTTATTTGGGTCAGGCAAGCCCTGTGAGGAATGAGGCTCCTCCTTGGAGACCACAGACAGCTGGCGAGCTGGCCTCCAAGTGACCACACAGGGGCCGTTGACTTGTGCCAGCAGCAGCCCTAAACACTCCTTTCTTTCCTCAAAGACCAATGTGGAGACAAGTTGAATGTGCATCTTTCATCAGCAATGCTTTGCCGCCACAGCTGACCCCCACAGCCAGAGAGCAGAACTAGCAAGAGTCTGAAAGTTCACCCTCTCAGTCTTTGCCCCTGGATGCCCGGCTCCCTGTTCCCTAGGCAAAAGTCACAATGAGTTCACAATGCAGAGATTTGGCTGGCGCTGTAAGACGCACCAGTGGTTAATCCTTATAGTCAGCTTGCTGGGATTTAAAACTCCGTAAAAACAAACTCCTAGGCATGTGTGGAAGTCTTTAGGTAGGGTTAAAAGAGGAACCCCCATCCTAAGTATGGGTGACATTGTTCTACGGGCTGGGGTCCTGGCCAGGATAAAAAGCAGGAAGTGAGCTGAACACCAGCATCCATCTCTCTCTGGTCCCTGATTGTGGGCAATATGACTGCCTACCTCATGCCTTCTCTCCCATGACAGGCTGTCCCTCAAATAGGAGACAGAACAAACCCCTCCTTCTTCAAGTAGCTTTTGTGAGGTGATTTGTCTCAGCAGGAAAGTAACTGAGTCATGTTCGGTCTCTGCCCCTTTTATTTTTTAGCGTATAGTCCCTAAAATCTTTACAATGGTCAAAGTCAGAGGCATCTTTCCTTGCTAATGATAGCTACAGGTTAGATGTCTACTGTCTAGAACCACAGGTGTAGATGGTTGGGATTTTCAATTTTACAATAACTCATCCTTGCCATTCGGACTCCAGCTGAAGACTAAATTCATCATCAGTGGCCAACAGCGAAATCAATTAAAATTATGTAGGGAGGCCTCTCTAAAAATACAGAAAGATATCTGGAAAAGCTTCTAGATCACTGAACAAATGGTTCTGGGAGAGTGGCACGATCAACAGTGACAGGAAAACTCCACATCCCTTCCCAGACCCCTTGATCCGTATATCTATCCCTGCCTCTGGGGTTCATCAGGATCCTGGGTCATGGCCTTTATAATGAGCCAGTAACCCGGGGGAAGAATTAATCTGCCCATGTAGAGAGTTGGCGTTCAGTGGTCAGTTTACAATCACCTATAATACTCCCTGAATGTCTTTCCTGAGCCACCCATCTCCGACAGGGTATGGTAAGAAGAGGAGCCAAGACGTTGGCACTCCTGTCATGGTTCACAGTGCGGTCTCATCTGGAATACGCGACCCCCTTTGCCTTGTGTGAACTTTCTGGTGTACAAACAGTAAACCACTAGTGAGAAACGTGCAAGCCCAGACTCAACTTTGCCAGCTCTTCAGTAGCTTGACACCTCCAGCACCTTGCCTCTGCCCCAGCAGCGTTCCCTCACATTTATTGATCATTTATTGTCATGGGACCAAAGAAAGCCCAGAAATTCGGGTTCATGGCTTGTGGGAAGGCAAGCTCTGGCCACTTTGGGAGTTTGAGGGTCACACAAGGACGATCTGTAAAGATCTTGCAATTCTCAACTACCAAAATTCTTTCCCTATGGGTTGCAGGTGGTGGTGGGCCTGAATTTGGTTCAGTTCTCCTACACAATCTGTGTGTGCATGCGTGCGTGTGTGTGTGTGCACCTTGGTGTCATTCTCTTTGGTTTTCGAGACACAGTCTTCACTGGGACCTGGTACGCTCCCCCTGACAACCCCCTCTCCGCCATTTAAACTAGACTGACTGGCCAGTGAGCCCCAGTGATCCTCCTGTCTCTACCTCCCCAGTGCTGGGATTACAGGCACACACCAGCCTTTTTTACATGTACACTGTCATAGGCCGGGCATGTCAAGGAGCTTCACCCACTAATGCCTGCTTCCCTTCTCCCCAGTAGACTGAGAAAAACTCCCTGAGGACAGACACCCTCTTCGCTCATTTTTGTGACAGCAGTGTAAGAGCCAACACTCAACACAGGCTCAGAAAGGAGCCCAGTGGGCTTGTAAAGCTTTCCTCCCAACACTCCATGTCCTGCTCTCCTTCCCTCTGGCTTCTTTCTCTATCTCCCAAGCCTGCCTTCATTCTGCCCCAGGAGGCTGTGTAGTGAGTCACGGGAGATGGAATCTGGGCACAGAGGAACTCACCAAGGCTCCTTCCAGGCATGTGGCATAGTTATATCCTCGTCCCATCACCAGGAGTGATCTCTGTGTGTAGAGCTCCAGGGCCAGGTCATGGATCTTCTCATCCAGAGACAATACTTCTTTGATCAGCTCTGAGCAATGCAAAGTGACAGGGAGAGAGACAGTCTCTCTGACTTCCAAATATTCACAAGGAAAGTCATCAGCTATAACAAGGTTTAGAAACTCAGGTCTGTGATAACTTGGGAAAATGGCCAGGAACTTGTCTGCTTGGCAGTTCCTGTTTGTGTGAGTCTGTATGGTAGGCTATAAGCTCTCACTTCCAGCTCCATGTTACAGGAAGTAAACCAAGAACCAGAGAGGTGAAATCATACCCCAGGGACACACAGTACCGAAATTCCAAATGAACTGCCTCAGACCCAGCCCAGTGTAAGTCAGACCTACTGTGGTCAAACTTCCTGGTCCCGGGACTCCTTTATGCTCTTACAAATTCTTATAATCCTCAAGAGACTTTGCTCTTGTGTGAGTGATAGCTCTCAATATTTACTGGATTTGAAAATAACACTAATCATCTGGGTGTGGTGGTACATGCCTATTATCCCAGGACTCAAGAAGCAGAGACAGGTAGATCTATGAGTTCAAGGCCAGCCTGGTCTAAACAGTAAGTTCCATGACAGCCAGAGCTACATAGTGAGACCCTGTCTCAAAAAAAGCAAACAACAACAAAGAAGGAAGGAGGAAAGGAAGGAAAAAAGGAAGAAAGGAAGACTAATTAAAAACTTTTAGAGTGCTATGTCACTCATTGGAATAATAAATAATAATAATTAATAATAATAATAATAATAATAAGCTATAATGATACATTTCTGAAAAAAAAATGAGTGAGATGAAAGGTATTTGAAGGGTTCTAGCAGGTCCAAGTACAGCAAACATGGCCCTGGCAGGCCTTGCTCCACTTCTTCTTCATTCCCTGTTTTGCCACTTTCTTCCCCTGAGGCTGACCACCAAGGTCCAGCTATCAAAGTATTAAAGCCTAGCAAACAAAAGCCCCCTTTTGGCTGTCTTAATTCCCTTTCTCCCAATTTCCCATTTTCTCTTTATAAAGTGCCATTCGACCACGGGCCATGTCTGTACCTTCTCTATCCAGAGGTAGTCCTTTGTCCCTCCAGGGCAAATATTCTTTCCCTCCCTTCCTTGTTCCTTTCCCCTTCTCCCTCATTCTCTGTCTCCCGTCTTTGTCCCTTATCCCTGCCCTTTGTCCCTCTGGGGCAAATAAATCTCCTTTGTGCTAAGAACTTGGTCTTGGGATGTCTTGTGCTGATTCTGGTCCTTTCAGTATTGTTGGGCATCTTTTCAATTTTTCTGTGTTTGTTTCTGGAGACAGAGTTTCTCTGTGTAACAAGACCTGGCTGTACTGGATTCGCTTTATAGACCAGGCTAGCTTCGAACTCACAGAGATCCACCTGCCTCTACCTCCTAAGTGCTGGTGTGCCACCACATCTGGCTCTTTTTAAAAAAAAAAAAATTTTTTTATTTTACATCCCAGCACTTGAGAGACACAGGCAGGTGGATCTCTGTGAGTTCGAGGCTAGCCTGGTTTACAAAGTGAGTTCCAGGACAGCCAGGGCCTTTACATAGAGAAACCATGTCTTGAATAAAACAATAACAAAAAATAAAATAAAATAAAATAATTATTACATGCATTTATTTGTGTGTGTGTGTGTGTGTGTGTGTGTGCATGCAATGTCAAGTACACGGATGTTGGAGAACAAATTGCAGGAGTCAGTTCTCCTTATACCACATGTGTTTGGGTGGCAAACTGTGTCACACTTGGCAGCAAAAGCCTTTACCTATTGAATGGTCTTGTCAGCCCAACATCTTTATGTATCTTTTTAGTGTCTGACTTTTTAGTAAAAGGGTTGACACCATATCTGTTTCTGCATTTAACCTATTATCTTTTTGGTCGTTTTTACTGGAGTATGTAACCAAGTTTTACAAAGATTTCTATTTGGAAAAGGGAAAGGTTTAAAAGGTTTTCAGACAGACGCTGGAATGTTCTGACTCTGCATCAAAACAAGAAGCAGTAGTTTCTTAAAACCGGGAGTTGCAAGAGTAGAATCTGAAACATATCGATGAAGTTTCTCTACTTTGTTACATTTGGTCTGCTTTGTACTTAAATGGCTCTTTCACACAGTTTGATGACATCATGCAAAGGCCCGGAGCTAGGCAAATCTAAACATGGAGACATTTAGCTACAAAATTTATTTTTACATATCACCTTGTTAAAACCACCAACTTCTTAGTTAAAAAAAAAAAAAAATCTTCAAATTTGGGAATTGGTTAGGTACAGACAAGCTTTTTAAATTCTACATGATGACTGAAAAGTTGACCTTTATGATTGGCAACAAGTACCATTGTTTGTTTTCTTTGAAGGGCTCCAGTGCAGGCTAGCTTGCCACACGGGGGCTGAGGCAGTCAGAGAGGAGGGAGAATGATTTGATCAGATGCAAAGGTCTTAGAGCCCTGCTGAGGACTGGCATTTTAAATCTTGGCCTAGCAGGATTTGATAGACAGTTTGGGGAATCATGGGGAAGGGTGGTGGTGCTGGAGAGGGTCGTGAGGGGGTAGGATTTGTCGTTGGGTAGAAAGATCTGGAAGGAAAGAGTCATCAACAGCGTCCTTTACATGAGAGTAAAGGAAGAGAGTGACCCAAAGAAGCTCAGTGGGTTTGAAAATACAGAAAGCCACATTCTGGGACTTACCAGGTAAAGATCTGAGGCCCCGGATAATCTCCCGCCTCCTGTTCTGTAGAGAAATTCGGTCTTCAGACATCATCAAACCAAACATCACCAGAGAGATGAACTGGCTGGTGTAAGCCTGAGGACAAAGGGGGCGCACGAAAGACTTTAGACAGCGTCATCTAGGGTATTTAAGGAGATAGGAGAGCTAAACAGCCACACAGACCACGACAGGAAAAAGAGAAAATGACACAATGAGGAGGAAGGGAGTGGAGGAAGGAGGAGGGGAGAAGAGCCAGGTGCACCCAACGCTCCGTACCACCAGTCGGCTTCTCCCCAGAGAACACAGGCAACTCGTACCTTGGTGCTGGCCACCCCGATCTCCGGCCCCGCGTTGATGTGGACACCGCAGTCGGTCTCCCGGGAGATGGAGCTGCCCACAGTGTTGGTGATGCCCACAGTCAGCGCCCCTCGGTCCTTACAGTATCGCAGCGCCAGGAGAGTGTCCGCCGTCTCGCCTGTAACACCAGGGTGACTGTCAGGGAGCACGTGCAGGGCCAGCCGGCACCCTCTTCTCCCCTACTCCCTCCTCATTCACCCCTACTCCTCCTGCTTGGGAATTCAAAGCCTGGTCAGGCTCTGGAAAAGAAAGCACGGGTTCAAACACCTTCCCTGTCGTTTCCTAGACTGACTCTCATTACTGTTTACGTAGCGAGCACTTTCTCATTCCCCGTTTCTTTGAATCCTCTGGTGAACTCCGTGGGGGCCCCTAGTCTCCTTTCCCTTCAGGATGAGGAGTTCAGAGAAATGGGACTCAGTATCTCCATTCAGGCCTTGCAGCTGGCCCTGAAAGCCCTTCTAGGTCTCCAGGCTGCCTGGGTAGGATTTGCTGAGGCTAAAACATTGAAAAGCGAGACTGCCCACATGATGCTTCCCAAATAGAACCTGCTTGAAGGAAGAAACATTTCTTGCATCCCCCCAGTGTGGACTCAAATAGTTTTCCTAATTAGGCCACCTCAATGGGTTTATGCCTACACTGGCACCAACTCCCTATTCGTCAATTTTAAAGAAACCCAAAGCAAAATGAGGCTGACTACAACATCAGACCCAGTGAATTCCCAACCCTCTGGCTGTTCCGCCCACGTGGCCGCTGCTCTTGGCTGTGCTCAGTTTGGTTCCCGACCTGTCCCCCAAAACTGCTGTCGCCAGTGCTTCCAGATGGTCTGACTCCCCTCTCTATCCTTTTCTTTGAACTTCTGGGTTTCCTGCACGTGACTGTCAAGTCAGCATCAGGAAGAGTGGGCAGAAAAGGAGAACGATGCCACTACCCATGTCAGCCTCGATCCTGATTCTGGCAGATTTCTGTGTGCTCAAATCTCATTTGTAAAAGCGGATACAGTCTGTACAGAGGCCAATGTTCTGCCACTGAATGGTTTTCACAGGAAACCTTCTTATTTTTCTGTGACTTTCCCTACCCATTCACGAACTACACTTAGGCTCTGAGGGGATGGACAACCCCAAGGCAGTTAGTCTGTGGGATGGTGGATGGGTCTGTACTAGTTTTTCTCAGCCTGTCATCAAAACGGACATGGCATTAAAAGCTCAAAACGGAAGCGATATTAAAATACTCCCTAGGATGTTAGAATGGTCAGTTTTCGGCTGGGAGAATGCTGCCGTGGGTATCTTATGCTTTGTTGTTTCACATTCTGAGTTATCTATAGAGCTAGATGGCAGGATGTTTGGGGTTGGCATCAGCTTCCAGGTGACCCAGAGGGAGAGACGGGTGAATCACAGTACATGGATGACCCCTCAACCAGAACCATGTCTTCCCTTGCACAGTGTGGACCCCTAGGGCTCGGACACAGAGCCCACCACCGACTAAATGTAAAGATATGACTCTCAACCCAGCAGAACTGAGATCTCTTTTTCTCTTCTAAACTAAGTACACGAAACATTTAGGAGCACATTGGTGAGTGTTCTCAGAATGGCAGGGGAAGCCATAGGCAGTCTCTTGGACCAGGCCAGCTTCTCCTAAGTCTTGCAGGGAGCTCTATGGATACAGCTTTTGTGGGGCATCACCCATGTTGGGGAGGGCTATGCAGCTCCCTTAAGTCACCCATGCTGCTGTGGTCACCTCAGTAACCTCTCTAGCTCACTAAGCTAGCCTCGGTCTGCCATTGGCAATCCACATGGATGAAAACATGTTTGATCATAGCACCATACAGTATTTATTAATAGATGCTTTTAGTATTAATAGATACTTTTAGGATACTATTAATAGATATTTTTAGGAGTTTAAAAGACCTGGTACATGAGAGCATGTGTGGGACATGGCAGATGCATAGAGGATTCACTGGAAGAAGAGAGAGGGTGGTGTATAAAGAAGAGAGCTTGGAGACGAGCCAGTGAAGACGTCGCCATGCTGCTGACCTCCCTTACCTGATTGGCTTATGAAAAAGCAAACGTCATCCCTGAACACGGGTGTGTTCCTGTCCAGAAAGTCACTGGCAAGTTCAACCATCACAGGGAGCTCGGTCAGTTCCTCTAAAACTTGCCGTGTCTGAAGCCAAAAAGAATGGAGGCTGAAGTCAGTGAGGGGCCTTATAGGGACACAGGGCAACCTGGGCTTCGGAGGTTTGTGACACGGTGCCTTGCTGTCCCAGTGGTGTAAGGACACTCACAGACCATCTTTCCAGAAGAAAAGGCTCAGTGCACTTCTCAAACTGGCTCATGGGAATGAGGATAAGCACTTGGTCAAGTTCAGAGGCCAGTGCGTCATGACCAGCGTCTTCGTCTTGACTGCTGTTAATTTCCCAGGACTACCCAAGGTCAGGTGTGTTGCACTTACAGCCACAGCGGCGTGGTAGCTGGTTCCACAGCCAATCACGATGAGCCTCCTGCATCGTCGAATCTCCTTCAAATGGTCCTTCAAGCCACCCAGGAGCACTGCAGGACACAAGGCAGGGCATTAATGCTAAGTCTGCACATGGCCGCATTCAATGGAGCAGGGCATGGACAAGGGCTTCCGCCCGATTACCTGTGTTGGTCTCAAAATTCACCCGACCCCTCATGGTATTAAAAACGGATTCTGGCTGCTCAAAGATCTCCTTCTGCATAAATGCACTGAAGTTACCTGGTCAGGGAAACATCCACAAGGTAAGTTAATTTAGATACATTTTTACAGCTTAACTGAACCAGGAAATGTTCGGCCAAACTTTGTGACTTTTGGCCAAGATGTCACCATGCCACAGTCTCAACATTACCCATAAAGCCCCCCCAAAGATTTTAAAGGGTGTCTGTGGGGTTTTTCCTGTCTGATGCTATGGAAACAAGTCAGATGAAAGTGGGTCAGACACAGTGACCATCTCCAATTTATACATTAGACCCTGTAGCTTTGGGCAGTCAGAGACCCCTCCATCCTCTGTCCCAACCCCCACCCTGAGAGCACCTGCTCTTGAAGGTAACTGCACGGGGAGCCTTGGAGGAGAGGACAGAGGACACCTGCCTTTCATTATTTGCTGCAGTTCCATTTGCAAGGTCTGGATGGCTCGGGAAGGGTCATCAGTAGCTGAGCGCTTGACTCGGTGAATCGAGAGTTTCCCATCAGCCACTGCAGCGATGTCATCATCTTCTAAAAAGATGACCCGGTTGGTGTGTTCTATGATGGCACTGGAAGGAAGGAAAAAGACATCAAAGGTCATATTCCACACTTGAAAGTTACAAGTCAGCAGTGACTTGATATTTCTCTAGCATGGGATCCTTATCATTTTAGGCAATGAAATGATATTACAGTAAAAAGATCCACAGGCAAGTCTTCCCATATCCTCCATGCCTCTCTCCGCCCACAATTATTTTAAAAACTAACCTTGAGCTTAACTCATTATAGAACGTATGAAAACACACCATTTCTTAAGTAAACATTTCTACTTAATATCTGTAAAAACTTAAGGGACTGAATTTAAACCTATTATAATACCAACATTCTCTCCAAACTTAACAATTCATCTTTAAACCACCAAATAGCTAATGTGTTCAAGTTCCTCCCAGGCAATCTCATGAATGTCTTTTATAATTGGTTTCTTCAAATAAGACACAAAAACTGTGTCACCTTTGGATAAGGTTGGAAAAACATACACTATCCTGCTTATATAATGGGAAAGAAATAAGCACTTGCTTTAAACCTGAGTAAAATCTAGCTTCTAGACACTTGCTGTTCTAGTTGGCTTTTACTTTCAACCTGGCACAGCCTAGAGTCACCTGAGAAGGAAGGAGTCCTGAGGGACTGCCCAGATCAGATGGGGCCATGGGTGTGTCTGAGGGGGGTGGTCATAATTACTAATTGGTGGAAGAAGCTCCTCCCACTGCGGAAAGCACTCTTCCCTGGGCTGCCTAAGAGAGCTACTAGCTAAGCACGGATAGGATCGGCAACTGAGCCAGCAAGGGGCATTCCTCCACAGTTTATGTTTCACATTCCTGCTTGAGTTCCTGCCCTGACTTCCTTCGTTGACGGGTGGTGACCTGGAAGTGTAAGATGAAATAAACTTTTTCCTCCACTAAAGTTGCTTTGGCCATCATATTTGTCACAGCCACAGAATGAAACTACAACACTTGCCAACGCTAGTTTACATTATGTTAAACAACATCTAGGAAGCAGGGGTATGCAAACAAAATCCAGATAGCAGGAAACTCATCACACAAATAACCCAGCTTCTCTCTCTCTCTCTCTCTCTCACACACACACACCCCTTAAATGTAATCATTATTTTATCCTGCAAAACAAATATCAATCTATTATCAGCCATTAGTACCCCTAGCCCAGGAGCCAGCTCACCTTTCTCTTTTATTAGTCCTGGGCCCCAAGGATACTTAAATAACCTCCCTGAATTCTACCCCATTTCCTCCTCTGTACAACAGGAGCTGGCATTGTGCCTTCATCCAGGCCGGAGCAGGGCACTCACTCTGTAATAGAACATGCTGCTCTTGCCCCAAGGGCTCTTCATTTTTCTTCATGTCTGCGAGGTTCACTTTTGTTTTCTCTCTTTCTATGTGTGTCAATGAACCCAAAATTCATGTGCTCACACTATTTGGAGGTGGGGATGATCAGATGATGGGGCCGCTCATGGATTCAGAGATTATCAAGGAAGAGGTGTTGTTGTAAAAATGAACTCTCTCTGTCCCTTGAAAGCCTCGCCAGATGCCAGTGTCACGCTCTTGGGCTTTTCCATCTCCAGAACCATAAGCTAAACAAACTTCTGTTCTCTATACATTGTCTAGTCTTAGGCATTTTTGTTACAGCAAAGGAAATAGGCTGAGACAGTTGGCTTTCGTGTTTATAGACTAGATAGTGGACGTGGAGGAGTGAAATAAGAATGTCCCCCATAGGCTCATATAGTTGAATGCTTAGTCACCAAGAAGTAGAACTCTTTGAAAGAATTAAAGGTTAGGAGGTGTGGCCTTGCTGGAGGAAGTACGTCATGGAGGTGGGATTTAAGGTTTCAAAGGCCCAAGGCAGGCCCAGTGTCTCTCCTTCTGCTGCCTGAGGATCAGGACATAGAACTCTCAGCTACTTCTCCAACACCATATCCACCTGCATGCCGCCATGCTTCCCACCATGATAGTTATGGACTATGAAACTGGTCATAGTATCTTTTCACAGCAATAGAACGTGGACTAAGACAGTACAGAATTGCATTTCTATGTGTGCATGTGTGTTTCAGTGTGTGTGTGTGTGTGTGTGTGTGTGTGGGTGGGTGGGTGAAAGAGAGAGAGATACATAGAGAGAGAGACAGAGATAATGTGGAGGCCAGAGGACAGCACTGGGTACTGTATTTCACATTCCACCTACCTTTTGTGAATGTGTATAAATTGTACATTGCACATTCCTGTGCATGTACGAAGTCTGGGTGTCCTACTCTATCCCCTTGAGACAGGATCTCTCACGGAACCTAGAGCTAGGCTGGCAGCTACTGAAGTCCCAGTAATCCTCCTGTCTCTACCCTCACACTGGCAGGGTTACAGGAACACACACAGCTACACGTGGCTTCATTTACATGAGTACAGGGACTTGGAACTCAGGTTCCCACAGCACCTGCTCTCCCTCATGGAGCCACCTCCCCATCCCCACCTTGGTTTTCTGTCTTGTTTATTAGTGTTTTTGTTTGTTTTTGAGACGGGGTCTCTAATCGGTGTGGAGCTCTGCAAGGAAATAGTTTGGCTGGCTAAGGAGCCCCAGGGACACGTCAATCTCAGCTTCCCCAGGACGTTAAGCACGCCACCAAGCTCACCTTTTTTATGGGGCAGTGGTCTAAGGGATCAAACTCAGGTCCTCACACTTGCAAGGCAAGCACTTTACCAACTGAACCATCAGTCCAGCCCTAGAATCATTATTTTAAGTTCCAAAAAAACCTATATATATGGTAAAAGGATTTCAACCACAGCATTATATGAGCAGATTAATTGGAGGAGAATCAAGATTTTTTTTTTTTTTTTGAGACAGGGTTTCACTGTGTGGCCCTGACTCCCCTAGAACTCGCTGTGTAGACCAGGCTGGCCTCAAACACAAGAGACCCACCTGCCTCTGGGATGAAAAGTCCTGGGATTAAAGGCGGCAGAGAATCAAGATTTTTAAAAACAATTCTTAACTATTAATTTGAAAACCTAATTCCAAAACGGGGACATGGTAGCTCATGTCTGTAGTCCTATCGCTTGAGGGCTGAGGCCTGAGGATTGCCGTGAGTTTGAGACTGGCTTGAGCTACAGAGTGAGGCTCTGTCTCAAAACAAAATCACTTTTTCCAATAGTTTTTTTTTTTAATGCAATATTACGTTTTCCTACCAAGGAGTTCGAAATTTTTATTCAAATCTCTTCTTGTGACTTATCGTAATTACCTGTAAGTCTCCTGTTTTGGGTCTGTCTGAACTGAATTTATCCTGAGAGATTTTGGTAAAGTGCGATTGTTTTCACTGTAGCCAAGTCTTATTTTTTTGTTTTTTATCAAATGTTTGCTAAGAGTCTACAGTGCTTAGTCATGTGAGAAGTTTCTAGAAGGAATAAGGCAGGCACGGTCCCCGCCTGGGCAGCTGACGGTGTAATGGTGATTGCTGCAATGTAAGATTCCCACATCTTTATTCTGTGGGAGGCTGCCAGCATTACAGCTTGTCAGCGGGCTGTAACCGGGTGTAATTATATTGCCTACAAACACCATTTCATCTTTCTTCAGGCATCCTTGCCTTTTCTAATTTTAGAAACACCTTGCATAGGAGTTTTCACGGACTATAAAGTAAGCGCTCAGCGGTCTCAAGCATTTCTTTGCGATAAGAACTTCAGCAAATTAGAATGCCCAGACACTAATTATAGGTACCAAAATCTGTTTCAAATAGTAGTTCTTTCCTTCTCCTCACAACCTCTTCTCTTTCCCCTCTTCTTCCCCTGCCCTAACTTTTCCTTTTCTGTGTATGTCTCTAAAATGAATTTACTTGGGCTGGTGGGATGGCTCAGTGGTACTTGCCACCAATCTGACAACCTCAATTTTTTTTTTTTTTTTTTTTTTTTTCGAGACAGGGCTTCTCTGTGTAGCCTTGGCCGCCCTGGACTTGTTCTGTAGACCAGGCTGGCCTCGAACGCACAGAGATCTGCCTGCCTCTGCCTCACTACGTGCTGGGATTAAGTGCACCAGCACGACCAGCTGACAACCAAAATTCAATTCCTGGTTGTCCTCTGACCGACATACGGGCTCCAAGTACACGCCCACATGCTTGCATGTATGTACACACACACACACACACACACACACACGGTGTTCAGACAGATAATCCCAGGAAAACAATGACAATGTTTAGCTACCTTGCGTCAGAAGCGAAGAAGAACTCCACAGCTTTGTCCCCCACAGCATGCAGGCAGGTGGAGCTGTCCAGTCTCTTCATCCTAGTCTTACAGATATTCTTCACGTTCTCAATATTGCCTAGTAAACAAAAGATTGGTTTGCAAAATTCGGTAGGCTGCTCTATTTGCATAACACGTGGCAAGGAACCCGTTTCTCTCTTTTGAATATTGTGTGGGAGAGATCTGCAATTTTTAGCTAAGGCTGTGCCAGCCAAATCACGTAAAAAGCTCCTCAAATAGCCCCAGTAAGCGCTGAAAGAGCATTTAAATGGCTACAGTGGGAGAGCAATGCAAAGGAAAACAAACCAAAGAAACTCAAATCAGGGCACAGTTACCAGGCTCCCCAGCTGCCTGCTGCTCTATTTCTGTGCAGGTCTCAAAATATTCACAATGAGATGCTTTTTTAAAAGATGGAGCTGAGTCTCCATTGCATGAATGTTTTTTGAAACCCAGAGCCACATGGCAGCTGGGTGGTGATGGTATGTCTGCCTCCAAGCAGAGCCGGCTGCAAGGGGACAGCCACCCTGCAGCAGCTGACTCTTTATGTCCCCAGGAAACTCACATGTCCGATAGAGGACGGGGATCTGCTCTGTGGACAGTTTGTATTTGCTTCGTACCCCGATGAGTAGTGGGCTGCCTCTCCTGCAGAAAGAAGATATCAAGTGATCTGTCATCTTTGAGACCCCGGGCAAAACGTCTTCCTAACCTCTTGGTACACCCTCCAAACCAGTCCTTTCCCTGGAGCCAAAGACTGGGTTTAGGTCACACAGAAGGGATGTCTTGACCATGAGACAATGTCTTCTAGTTTTGGAGCAGGAGCCAACAGACTGGCCTGCAGAGGTCGGCTCACTCGCTCATCCAAGTGCCTGACCAGTTAGCCTGGTAACATGCTTTCCCCACTTTTATGAGACTCTGGGATCCCGGTTCTCTAAATCCCCACAAATGGCTAACCCACCTTGGTAGGTCGGGGCTATATTCACCATCAGAGAAAGGCGTGGCGTAAGCAAGGGCACTCTAGGTTTTCACACCACAGCCTTCATTTACTGTGAATCCCCAGATCAGGAGTGTTTGCTGGGGAACCCCATTTTGTGCTTCCTTTTGCATAGCTAAGTTCTCTGCCTCCATGAGCACCAGACTAGCTGAGGATATACAGTTGACATCCATAAACTCAACCAGCAACTGAAGATGCAGAGAGAGAGCACTCTTAAAAGCCGAGCTTAGTGGCACAGGCCTGTGACCCCACCTACTCGGAAGGCTGAGGAAAAGAGGACTGCATGTCCCTGTTTGGGGTACGGACTAAGTTCAAGGTCACCCTGAGCAACTTGGCAAGATCATGTCTCAAAACAAGTTAAGTAAAACAAAATAAAACAGAGCTTGCGATACAGCCCGGCTGTGGGGTTTGCCTTGTGTGTGCAGTATGTAAGAGTCAATGGCTAGTAATAACACACACACACACACACACACACACACACACACACACACACACACATTGATATGCACATGCACCGGCCCACACACAAATTGAATTTGTACTTAACCTGTACAGACTTTTGTCTGTCATTCCCTAAGGAATATATATGACAACTATTTGCAAGACATTTCCATTGTATTAGGTATCAATACAATCCAGAGATGATGGGAAAACATATATAAGTTATAGGCAAGTCCTGCCCCGTGCTAATTTCTGTAAGGATCTGAATGTTGGAAGATTTTGGTGGTATCTGGACAGGGTTTAGTTTGAGGACTCCCACAGATACCAAGGTCAGGCTGCTTTGTGGGCTACCAGAGGCAGTCTCTAGGGTCTTCCCTCGGCTGGAGTGATACTCCACTAAGGGAAACTTAGAATCTTTGACCTGTATAAAAGTGAATTTCGTGCCAGGCCTGGTGGCAGAAGCCTTGAATCCCTGCACTCGGGGAGGCAGAGGCAGGCGGATCTCTGTGAGTTCAAGGCCAGCCTGGTCTACAGAGTGAGTTCCTGTCTAAAAAAAAAAAAAAAAAAAAGTGGATTTTGTCACAAAGGGAACAGTAATTTTCACACAAAGAAAAGTCTTCAGAGGATGACAGCAGCTGACAAGAATGAAGCTTCCAACAAAGGCCTCCTTCCTGAGGGCCCCTCTGTCACCAGCACTGGGCTCTCTGGGCGTCTTGGGATAGGTTCATCAGTGAAGCAGGTCACAGTATTTAGTTCCTGTATACTGTTCCTTCTGGTGAGCTTATCCGAGGTATACGTCATGGTTAACTTGATCACAATGGGTGGTGTGTGTGGGTGTGACCCCAGCAGGTGGGGAGGAGAGGTAGAAGGACACTGAGAGAGTCCTTCGGAATTAATTGGCTGGCCAGCCTACAGCCTAGCTGAATGGGTGAGCTCAAGATTCAATACCTTGTCTCAAAAATTAGCAGCAGTGATGGCTCAGTGGTTAACGGCACTTACTAATCTTGCATAGGACCTGAGTGGTTCCCGTCAGCCTCGTGGTGGCTCACAACTACCCATAACTCCAGTTCTAGAAGATCTGATGCACTCTCATGACCTCTGTGGACAGCAGACACACAAGTGGTACACATACATACCTTAAAGCATAAAAGAGAAGACACCTGATGTGGGTTGTACTCTAACACACACACACACACACACACACACACACACACACACACACACAGTCACACAACCTCCAGTGTAAGCCTGGAACCCAACACACACAAGGTTTTCATATGCATTCACACTTATGATAGAATTTAGGTGCAATAAGAGACTAACAGCAAAATAAAAAAAAATTATAACACTTTAGCATAACGAGTTATATTGAATTTATGAATTGTCTGTTTCTGGAATTTTGCACAGAGTATTTTTGGACCTTGTTTGATGACCGATAACTGAAACCTGAGAAAGTCATGCTTTACACCGAGTTGGGGTGGAGACGGGGCTTCTGTAGCTAGTGCTAACAGTGCCTTTCTCTTCCAACATGTTCGCTGACTGATGAGAAGAAAGCACTGCACACACTTTATTGAGACCACTGAGGGCTGTCTCACACATTTGACTTCAATAGTGGGCTAATAAGTTGTCTTTTTTAAAAAAAAATTATTTACCTTTATTTTATGTGCATCAGTGTTTTGCCTGCATGTATGCCTGTGGGAGGGTGTCAGATCTTGGAGTTACAGACAGTTGTGAGCTGCCCTGTGGGTGCTGGGATTTGATCCTGGGTCCCCTGGAAGAGCAGTCAGTGCCCTTAACTGCTGAGCCATCTCTCCAGTTCCTGACATGCTGTCTTAACCAAATTCTTTCTAATATAGACCTATGTTCTTATGGATCCACCTTTCATTAGTCTGCAGCCACACGGGCACTTGGTGTGTCTGCCTGACTCGGAGAGGCCAGTCATTTCTCCAGGAATGAGACCTGCTTCCCTGGAGCACTGACTTTCTCAGCCCCCTCTTCTCATTTCTCGAAATAGTGAACAAGGTTCAGAAGGATCGAGGAAAAAGGTGCTTCGAGTGCCTTGACTGATTTGTATAATCCTTTGTTTTGTCTAAAACTAATCAGAGACCTTGTTTTGGGTCCAGTGAAGAGCTAGCTCAAGCTGCCCCTAAATAATAAGAGTTTAAGTATTAATAATTGTGTCTAAGGCTGTCTGGGTTCCTGGATAAGAGGCTCCCCAGATCTTATTGTTCAGACTGAGCTCTCCTTTAAGACACAGAAGCCTCCTGAGATATCCCAAGGCCTGGTCCGGATGCTCCAGCCATTTAGAAAAGCCAACCTTTATTGCTTCCACATTCATTTTAAACCAGCATCCCTTTATGAGATTTTAAAGAAACCCTCTAGATTTGATAGGGACCAACTGGTGCTTTATAATTCTATTCTCTGATTTAATAAAATTATAATTCAAATGACAGATTTGCCCCAGTCCTGGGGGGTGGGGGAGCGAAAATAAGATTATGATCAATTCATGTGATTTTCTGGGCATAGATTGTAAGTCTCACTCACTCTGCTAAGCCCCCCACCCCAACCTGTCAAGGTCACAGGGCAATGTCTAAAAATCACCCGATTCACTGCTGACCCCAGGTCTGGCCCACAGCAGGGATCGGTAAACAGACAGTCCTACCTAGGGCTCCCCTACCCTGCCACAAACACCAAACACGGAGGCTGGAGCGCCCCACTTTCTCCAGGCTGCTTTTCCCTCCCTGTGCTGCTGGGAAAGCAGTTACTACTCCCTGCCTTTCCTGGGCTGGTGCCTACATTGTTGCATCATTCTCAGGCTCCTGGTACAGTGGCCTTCCCAACCTCCATCACAGAGCAGCATCGCTTTCTGCCTTTCTCTGTTCTCTGGAACAAGGTCTCCATAAATCTGCCCATAGTAAGGTTTCAACAAACATTAGCTGCTAGGTGGCTGGAGAAACAATTTCTCCGAACAGAAAATAAGAGAATGACATTCGATCTACTTCTGTCACTCGAAACAGCTATGAGGAGCCTTCCGGATAGAGGCTCCAACACCAGGATGTGTGGGCTGACCAAGGCTTCTTAGATGAGACTTATCATGTCCCAACCATATAGGTGACAAGGCATGAGCTTTGGTCCATTAAGGACTTTTGGTTTTTCGAGTCCTGGCTGTCCTGGAACTCACTCTGTCTGCCAGGCTGGCCTTGAACTCATAATAAATAAATAAATCTTGGAAAAAAATAAATAAAAAATAAAATAAAAACAGGAGCTCTAGTGCACTGTGGAGCAATGCCTGGGCCCCAGCCGTAGCTATTCTTTAGACCCAACGAGCAAGTTTGCAAGAGCCCCTAAACTCCCTGGTTGTCCCAAGCTAAATGATTTGATCTTATTTATTTACTTGTTCCTGGAAGCACCCACGCAGTTGCCTTACCTTGTGGCAACAGCTTCTCCCGGGTAGTGGATGCTCTTGAAAACCAATGCGAAGGCACCTTCCTGAAAACACAGCAAAAAAAAAAGAAAAAGAAAAAAAAAGGTGAAAGATTGTGGAGTAGCACTCTGACCAGCCAAGCGACTGCAGATCCCTGACCCAGACAGGTCACTGCAGCCCCTCTTCACAGCAGATGTGGGCTGCATAAGGAGGCAAATACAGAGGCAGCTTATGGATGATGATTATGGTCAGAGGGGAAGCCAAACAGATGCCATCGTGCTGAAAAGCCAAAGTCCAGCCCTTATGAATTTTGCTGTGAGCGTTTTAAGCCACAGTGGCTTGTCCAAGCTCACAAGGGACTCCCGTTAGAGATGCCCTCAGTAGAATGGCACAGCTAGAACCATGAAGATTGGGAATCAGGGCCAGAGAAACCCTGCACTGAGCCCCAGGAAAGGACCTGTCCAGGAAGCAGCTGGGAGGTGAAAGGGGTTGACCCACATAGCTCAACACTCGGTCCAAACTGGCTTCATCCCTTCCTTTAACTGGGCAGTCACTTCAGCGACCTCCATGCCTCATTTTTCTTTTTTTTAATCTGTGGCCGAGAGGACACCAAGTCTATCTGTATGACTTTCAAGTTCAAGGCTAATGAACTCTGAGTGCTTAGAATGGCGCCTGGAGCACCGGTGAGAACTGGAGTTGCTAATTCACTTATCAATTCTCTGGCCCCTGTGCTGATGTCTTGCCTTGCTACTTGTGCACAGCTAGAACTAGACTCTAGCTTTCCTAATTCAGGTCTGCAAATTCTTTCCTACGATTTATTTATTTTATTATTAATAGTGTATGTGCATTATGTGTGTGCGATGTCCACAGAGGCCAGAAGAGGGAGAAAGATCCTCTGGAACTGGAGTTACAGGCAATGGTGAGCCACCAACATGGGTGCTGGAAACTGAACCTGCCTTCTCTACAAAGATCAGTAACTACTCAACCACTGAGCCTTCTCTCTAGCTCCCCAATGCCTTTTTTTTTTTTACTTAAATTCTCCATGCAAAATTATCCCCTGCATCTATCTGACCAACCTAACTAATTTGCCATGGCCTCAGAACATCTCCAATTATGTACAACAAGTTACGAATCTGAATTTCTGTGTAAAGTTCTCAGACTTTGAAATTCTGGGTGGACTTCAGGCTCTGTGCAGCCAGGATGGTAATCTAGTTCGTGGACTAAGCCACAAAACCATTGAGTTTTGGGTTAATGTACCAGGATCTCAATGGGCTTTCCAGCTGCCTAGGAAGAAAGGGCTTCAGGAAGATCCTGAGTGTCATGACATTGTTTATAATAGCAGTGAAGGATATTAATTTATAACAGCAGTGAAGGACAGAACAGAAATACGTTTTCCATTCTCTGTCAAAAAGAGCTCCATGTTTTGTTTTGTTTCAAATAAGAAAAAAAAAATCAAAAAGTCTAAAGGAGCCATTATGGGGAAGGCATTTCTAAAAGGTCAAATGTACATAGTGCAAGAGTAGCAGAGTGCCAGGCTCTGGGTTCAATTCTTAGGATGTCAACAAAACAAAGACCAAAAAGAAGAAAACGATGTGTTGTAATCCCAGTCTGTTTATCGTACTTCACAAATACAGGACCCTGCCCATTATGTACAACTGACCATCCATGTCTGTGGATGCAGATACGGGTGTGGCTCAGTGATGGGGAGCTTGCCAAAGCATGTGTGAGGCTCTGGATTTGATTTCTAGCATCAGGAAGAAAGGAAAAATGTTCTGAAAACTTGTTCCATTGTTACTGGTGTGGACTGCACAGCTAGCCTATAATGGAGCACCAGAGGGAGCACACATAGACTTGCTCTAGCATCCAATATGGTGGAACAACCGTCTACATGGCTCCACTGTGTTAGATATTACAAACAATCTAGAGATAATTTAAAACACTCAGGGGGTGTGCACAGGTTACATGCAAATAATGTGACAGTTTATATGAAACTTGATTTGGGTATCTAGTGAGGGTCTTGAAGCCAATTCCTTGTTTGCATCAAGGTATGACACTGTAGAAGATGCTATGATTTAGAAACAGGATCTCTAAATTATGAACCCCCAAAAGAGGGTGGCACAGGTCAAACCATAGATTCACTCTAAAACTGTTTACTGAAGGCTGGCATCTCAAAAACCATAGCATGATAACCCACAGCAGTCTCTCACTCAATGTGTCCTGGATCTGGGCCTTGAAGGCCCCCTCCAGGCTGTGGTAGCCTTGGATCAGATCTTGGATGGCATGGTACCTTGGGGATGGACTCTGAGATACCTGGACCCCTCTTCTGGGCCTCCCATCTCATGCAGGCCCTGCCTGCTCTGCTTCCCCTAAGGAAAGATTTCCTCCTTGGATAAGATACCAGCCTCCATGTCTCTTCCCCCTGGATGACCTCCCCCCAGCCCCTGGGTCCTTTCCTCTTTGACAGTAGCTGTGCTTGGATCTAGTTGTTTGCGGTCTTTCCTGGGCTACTCCCTTCAGCATTTCCCCGTGCCCTGGATCTCTTCTGTCACAAAACCACAATCTTCTTTGGGAACTAAGAGCAGCCCTTGTCCCACAAATGTTGCTATGCACCCTTAAAAATCAGGTAACTCAGAAATCTATTCCTATGCTCCATGAAGGAATGCCTGCCTTCTTCCTTCCTTCCCCCATCCCTCCCTCCTTCTCTTTTACCACTTCCGTTTTGTAATTAATTGTAGACATTTCTTCCCCTGACTGCTTTATTGACAAGAAAAAAAAGTGGCTCCAATTTTAAGTCTCCAACCTCAGTCAAATTCATCTGATTAGCATATAGCAATGCCTATAATTCCATTTTAGAGATGGCGACGTGAACCGTGACAGCTATGCTCACACACACACACACAACCCAACCCACGGTTGTAAAAACCGTAGATTGGAACGTCAGCCACTATCTCGGAGGGGCTAGAGTGAAGCTAACACTCTGATAGTCTCCCCGAACTGGACTGTCTCCAGATTCTACCGGAATACAACATCGTAAGTACTCATGCCATCCTCGAGCTATCTTCCCCGCTCTGTACCTTGTGCAAGTACAAGTGCTTATGAAGAGCGAAGGCGTGTTTAGACAGCTGGGACTTGTAACTCACCAACTGCTGAATGACTCTTTCGACCAATGTTGAAAACGTAATGTCGTCCGTCTCCCTGTTGTCGAATACATATTTAATCAGCTTGGCGATGGTCTCCGTGTCTGTTTCTGACTCAAACTCGTAGCCCTTGCTTTCCTGGAATATGGGTTTGTACCCAGGGTGACAGAGTGTGGTCATTGTGCAACGCCGGAGGGGCCACCTCCCTCTAGTCCCTCATGATATGACTTAAGGCAAGAGCAAGCAAAACTGGGAAGTGATGAGAAATGTCCTGCCAGAACCCGGCAGCCAAACACCTCTGAGTCACCCCCTTATTCCCAGAGACGGTCCCTCCTCAGGAGCCTGTCTCCACAGTTAATCTGGATGTTGCAAAACAGCAGCAGTTAGGATGAAATATGTTGAGTCAAACCCACTCCCACCACAGCACCTTCTCCCGCCATGGACATTCACCGTCCGCCTCCCCACCCCACATTCCACGTGGTGTCTGAGTTCGTGTGATTTTGATTCTGTGAAGCCACAGCGGCCCTCAAGGGAAACGCTAACGCCCTGGTATCTCCCCAGACAAGGTCTGAAGGTGAAGGCTCAGCTGAGGCTACGGCTCACACTCAGGGGTGTGACATGGCCCAGACTGGGCCTCACTCAGTCGTTGCGTTCCCTCCTGGAGGGAAACAGGCTAGGTGAAGGTGTCAGGAGGAAAAGCAACACCTTCTCAGATTTGATTTACCCGGGGTGGGGTGGGGGATGTGGGGAGGAGTGGGGGAGGTGGGGGGGGAGGCTTACCAGAAATTTCCTTAGATCCTTGTAATTTGTGATGATTCCGTTGTGGATGACGACGAACCCTGAAAGAAGAGTTTGGGGATGGGAGCAGTGAGAGTTAAAAACGGACTGGAAGCAGGCTGCATTTGCAGTGGTCAAGCCTGACGCTTACGGTGGCCGAGGAGTGACACGTCAGGGACCAGCACCCAGCACCTCACCGGGCACTGAACTCTTTATCAAAAAGGCCTTCAGCTGTCACAATTATTTATGTCAGAAATTAACCTTTCGTTACCCAGACATATTTCCAGACATTCCCAACAGTCTGTAGTTCTTTCTCCTCTAAATAAATAAATAAATAAATAAATAAATAAATAAATAAATAAATAAATAAATAAATAAATAGAGTTAGTTTATGCATGTGGGTCTCTGTACCACATGCATGCCTGGTGCTTGTGAAAGCCAGAAGAAGGCATGGGATGCCCTGGAAGTAGAAGAGTGGACAGCTCTGAGCAGCTACGAAGGTGCTGGGAATTGAACCTAGGTCCTCTGGAAGAGCAGCCAGTGCTATTAACTGCCGAGTCATCTCTCATGCCATAGGTTTGAGTACTTAAAGGCAGTCACAAACTAGCAGTTCATAGATGTGTGTGTGTGTCTGTGTGCGCGCGCGCCATGGCACACGTGAAATTCAGGGGACAACTTGCTGGAGTTAGTTCTCCCCTTCCTCCTTTACTTGGGTTCCAGGGATTGAGCTCAGCTCATCAGAATTTCACAGCAGGCACTTTTTTTTTTTTTTTTTTTTTTTGAGTGAGGGTGTCTCACAGAAGCTGGAGCTAACAGACTTACAGGGACTGGCTGGCCAGTGAGCTTCGGGGATCCTCTTATCTCTGTCTCCCCAAACCTGGGATTACAAGTATGTGCACCCAATTTTTCCACACAGATGCTGGGCTCCAACTCAAGTCTTTGTGCTTGCATGTCAGCCACTTCCCCAACTGAGCCATCTCTCCAGTCCCGTGTAAACCTGTCCCCCTCCCCCAGTTTCATTGGCTCTGATGTCTTCTTGGGAGAATCAGGCATTTGTCTGTTGGATCTCTGTCTGTTAGCTGACTCCATTAATCTCCTTTCTTTGCTTCTTTTTATTTCACAGCTATCATGCCATTGCTTCTTTATGTTATTCTCTTTTGTCTTAGTAAATGGTCTTAATCTGTTTCTTACGGTCCATGTTTCCTTCGTGAAAACAATTTTCCCTGTCTTTTGCAGGGCTAGCAGTTAAACCTATAGCATGCTAAGCACGGGCTGTAACACAGGGTCATCCTGAGCAAAGCCATGTCACTCCCTCATGCTGTTTAGTGGCTATGTGTAAGACACTCTTGAAAGCATGTCAGTTATCACTGGTGAGTTGATGGAGACATTTGATGAATCTTCACAGATTGCTCATGCTGTTTTTCAACTGGTCATCCTACACCGGAGCAGGGGTTTCCAACAAACGTGGGTTATGGGTGGATCCTACTGGCATTTCCTGCTTTGGGGGCACAATCAGAATCGTAGCGTATTCTTAAGCAAGGAGCTGCTGATGGGGTTTGCCTTATAACTAGGCAGGTCAGGAGGCTGTTGTGGCTACAGCTACAACACCTCAGGGCTCCTGGTCATGGTAATATTTTCTCAGCCAATGTCAGTCAACATTGCTGCCCAAAGACCAACTTCGGCATCTTGGTGGCATTTAGATAGGTACTTAGCCCATCTGGGTTTGCCATTTCTCTCCTAGGTATGGTGCTTGTTCTGGTTGAGATGTTCTGTGGTTAAAAGTATGGCTGTTGACGCATGCCCGTAATCCCAGCATTCGGGAGGCAGAGGCAGGTGGATCTCTTTGAGTTTGAGGCCAGCCTGGTCTTCAAAGAGAGTCCAGGACAGCCAAGGCTGTTACACAGAGAAACCCTGTCTTGAAAAACAAAACAAAAAAAGAGTATGGGGCCAGACTCAAGAGCCTCCAGGAAGAAAAGTTACACAGGCCATGCAGATACACATGGTTCTCTAGCCCATGCTGCTCAGCTGTCCTCCCTTTCTCTAAAGATGTCCTCCCTTCCAAATAGGACTGGTGAACCCCTTCAAAGTGTTTTTGGGGAAGAAACCACATGTCATGGGTGAGGGTACTTGTCCCTCTTGCCTGACTAGACACACCGCCCCATGGTACAGACTTGCCAGATTTTCTCTCAAGAGAAGGCAGCTAGAGGGTCATTTAAAAGAATTACAGTATGGGAGCCAGCCTGAGGGGCTGAGCAAATGGATCTATGACTAGGCTGGGACAAGGAAGCAGTTGGGAGAGCAGAGGAGTTCCAATGCCACCAAAGGCTGCCATGAGCAGTCCCCACATCTCTGCTTCATGGCCTTGGCCTACTGCCCATCATTGGTCCTCTAAGGTACAGTAAACCCAGTGTTTCCATATCTTCCAGTTTTCCAAAGGTGTCAGAGGCCTCGGCTTGTGTGTATAATTTTCAAGCTTGAAACTTTTGAAACACACCAAGTCAAGGCTATTGGGAAGAACTCTTAGGCTGCCGGCTGCAGCCTCTGACCTTCCAAACTTTAAACTCATGGCTGCCGAGCCTTGACTCTGCAATCCAGGGCTTGGCGAGGGACCTAGGCATTAACCATGATCAGCGGTGTCATCTGCCTCCACTCAGAACCACTCTTTGTGGGGGTGTGAGTTGAATTCAGCAGGATGGAGAAGATCCATGCTTCTCCTATGGTCCTGGCCTCCTAGAATATTTTGCTCTTCTTATACTGTTTGCTATGGGCTAAGTGTATATTTCACAATCTCAGTGCTTGGCACCAGGTCCTCAGGGTGGTGTAATGACAGATGCTAGGACCATTAAGAGAGATGGAGTGTCCTGGGAGGTTATTGGAGACATGCTTCTGGAAGAAACCAATAAGAATTCTGCTCATGGTCCCTTCTGTTGTTTTTACCACGTGGTGCCGAAGCCAAGAGGAATATCACCAGCGGTCAGACAGATGCGCTGCCGTATCATATGCTTTCAGCTTCTAAAACCGAGACCTAAATAAATCTCCTTTCTTTGTAAAGAACCCAGCTTCAGGTGTTTCGCTATAGTGACGGAAAACGAGCTAATGCACTGCTAACTTCCGCTCTCGGGATGAGTTCCAAAGAGCCTGCAGCCCTGTGGCAAATGGCTGTCACCATTTCCAGTGTGTACCCAGGTCAGTAGCACCCAAGGGACCAGGTGCTGGCCTGAGTGACACCCAGTGTGACCCACCAGGGAGATGCTTAGATTATCTCAGGAGGACTGGGCAGGCAGGAAAGCCAGTTAGAGGTGGGCATGGAAGCCACTCCGGCCATTATCATCTGACAGGTCATTCGAAGAGAGGTAGAAATATCCTGAACAGGCTCGACTTACCGTTGTCTTTGTCTGAACGCTGCGGGTGACTGTTCACAGCATTGGGAACCCCGTGGGTGGCCCAGCGGGTGTGGGCAATGCCAAAGTGTGTCTCAAACTCCACCTTCAAGTCCATGTTATCTTGCTCTAAACGAAAAGAAAATCAGTTGCTGTGTCTCTCTATGTTGTTCATATGTGTTTGTCTGTGTGCGTGCGGGGTGCGTGTGTGTTTACATGCATGTGTCTGTGTGATGTGTGCATGCATGGTTTTGTGTGTGTGTGAAGGCCCAGGGTTGATGCTGGGGTATTTTCCTTTGTGTTGGCTACCTTATTCATTGAGACAAGGTCTTATGTTAAACTCAGAGCTCCCCCTCTGTGGTTAGTCTGGCTAGCAAGCTTGCTCAGGGAATCCTCTGATTTTTGACAGCTGGAATTACTGCCATGCCTACCTGACATTTACAGAGGTGTTGGGATCTGAACTCTGGTTCTCAGGTTTGTGCGGCAAGCAAGCCATCTCCCCGGACAACTGTCTGTACTTTAAAAACAAGCATCGGTGGCCAGGAGGTGCTGTTGGCACACGCCTTTAATCCCAGCACTCAGAAAGCAGGGGCAGGCGGATCTCTGAGTTCAAGGCCAGCCTGCTCTACAGAGCAATTTTCAGGATAGCCAGGGCCACACAGAGAAGCCCTGCCTCCAGGACAGAAGAAAGCACTGGCAAGGTGTTCTCATTCTAGGAGACACACCACCTGAACCAAACAAAGGCCCATCTTCAATGCCAGCTACACACATGAAAACCCAGGGATCTGCCACACCTGGGTGCCACCTACAGAGTTTTGCTTAGTGTTTATCAGAAACTGAACCCATTTCTTTTTTTAATCTTTGTGAGACATTATTGCTACGTAGACCTGGAACTCACTACATAAACGGGCCTCAAACCGGAGGCAATGTGCCTGCTTCAAGTGCTGGGTTTCAGGCTTGGGTCACTATTTCCTAATCAAAATCAGTTGACATAGAAAGGGAAATGATATATCTCTAATATATAGAAAAGCAGTATTATATCCCAGAATAATTAAAACAAATACATAACTACTAAAATAGCTTAAGAGGTCACAAGCAACTGCTTAAAATAATTTAAAAAAAAATCTCACAATTTGTGAAACAGTCTTACAGCACAGCCTCAACACTCGGATCCAAGTGTAGACAAATGAACATTTTCAGTCTCAAGTGCTGTTGGCAATGAAGTGTTTTCAGGGGGGCTATGCACCTCCCGTCACTCTGATACAGAACGTTTCTACTCACTGTAAAGTCCTTTATCTTCTACTTACTGTAAAGCTCTTCATCCAGAGCCTTCACTTTCCCCTTTTTCTTCACAAGATGGATGTGTCTTTCTTTGACTTCATGGTTATTCCCATCAATGGCCACACCTACAGTTTACAGAGAGCACTGAGTTCTTATGCATGCCTATGCCAGCATGACCCACAGAGACACTCAGAAAGAGCCCTGTACCTTTCCCTTCAACTTCCCTACTCCAAAGAGGCAACCGCTGCCCACACTTCCAATGCCAATGGAGCAGTTTGCTTCTTCTAGAACTTTGTAAAACTGAGAACACAAACCTCACTTTTCATGTTGGATTTTAAGTTTTGACAGCACAAGGTGCACTTTGCCATCTTTGTCCGAGGCTTCACACCCATGACCAACCAAGAGATGATCAGAGGTCTTGGAAATAAGATAGGGGGCTAAGGCAATAGCTCGGTTGGACCTGAGTTGAGTCTCCAGAACACACATTATAAAAAAGCAGGCATAGCGCTGCATGTCTGTAATCCTAAGGCTGGGGAGGGGGAGACAGCTGGATCCTGGGACCACACAGGCTTTTCAGCCTAACCTACAAGTTCCAAGTCTATGAAAAACATTCTCTCAAAAAATAGAATGGACCTCTGACCTCCATACGTGCAGTCACACATACACAGGCACGCCCAAACACATGTACACCAACAAATCGCATTTGTCCTGAACCTGGGGCAGATTTGTTTTTTCCTGTCTCAGAGACAAAGCACTGTAGGAACTATTCACACAGAGCATTCCCATTGCATTAGGTATAAATAAATAATCTAAGGATGACATAAAGTATTTGTGAGGAGGCACACATATTGTGCTGTTTTATAGAAGGGATTAGGGCATCCTAAGAGTTTGGTACCTTGGGGCTTCCGTCCTCCTTGGAGGAACTGAATGTACCACCCATTTGGCCACAAAGTGCTGTTCTCTAGCAGGCGAGAGGGAAGAGATCCTGGGGTTTGGCTGCCAGGGAGGGGCTACCACACCTGCCAATAATGGCAGAGACTATTCAAAGGTACTTATCCTGCTGTGTTCTTTGCTTTGGGACCTAAATGCCTTCTCCCTCCATTTGCATGCCTGTAAACCTTTTCTGGATTTGCCTTCGGTTAAAAATTTACAAGGACAGATCACTTAGTCTCCTTGGCTCTACTTTAACATTTGGCCAGCGGAGGAGGGAAGTCATGAATGAAGAATCGGAAGTGAGTCAGAAAGGCAGTGAGGAAGGGCTCTGGAAAGTGGAAATGCTAAGAAAAGTGAAGAAAGATTGTGAAAGTACAGGGGCTGAGGAGGTGACACCAAGCAGAGTGTGTGGAAGGCCCTGGATTCTATCATTGTTTTGTTTTGTTTTCAACACAGGGTTTCTCTGTGTAGCCCTGTTTGTCCCTGGAGCTCGCTCTGCAGATCAGGCGGGCCTTGAACTAGAAGATACTCCTGCCTCTGCTTCCCGAGGAATGCAACATCACCACCCCCAGCATGTAGCAAAACTAGCTCAGTCTTTAACATCCTAAGCAGTTAAATGTTACAAAATTGCATAGTGATGAAGATTAAGGGGGGCGGGGAGAAAAAGAGAAAAGAAAATTTATTAACAAACTCTCTCCATTCTCAGCGCAGATGATATCAATGCACAACAGTGAAACAGGGTGCCCAGAAACTGCTGGTGGGGAACGTACTGAGGTATGATAGGCAGGAAGAAAGCTACGTATATATTTAATGTACCCAACTTGGTGGACTTTGAGGTAGGGGCCTACTGGTGGAAATACCCCAAAATTCATGCCATTAACTTCTCCTTTACCTAAGTTCCCAGCAGACCCCTTTTCTCCATCAACATCAGTGTGTGTATGTTTGCACACTTAATATGAGGCTTCTCATATGAGTACCCTTTTGTCAACCATCACTCTAAGCTGCCCTGGGATTTTTAGGACTCGTTCATCTTGCACAACTGAAACTTTGTGCTTCTGATTAGTACTGATGAGGTTCTCTCTGATAGAGATTTTTGTTAGTTTTGTTTTTTGTCCCCCCCCCATGTTTTCTTTTCTACATTTAAACCCCACCCCCCCACACACACACACAAAAAAAATGTTTTCTCGATTTTTCTACAGTTTTGAAACTAGAGAGCAAGTGTGGTTACTGAATGGCTTCTCCAGCGACATAATAAATCAAATCGGGTGGAATTTACAGTAAAAAGGCAGGTTTACTGTGAAGAATCTTGGGCTGCTTGACTGATCTCACAGGAAGAGGTCTGTGAAGTCCCAAGGCTGAGCTGTGGTAGGGGCTTCTTAAAGAGGGTAGACTTGTGATGTGATGGTGAGGTACTGGGGTTATGGTATTATTTAGTGAGTTCAGGGCCCTGTAGGTGGGCCTCAGGTACAGTAATCACTTTGGAATCAGGAACTAGGAGCTGGCTTTGTACAGCATTTTGCACCACCCTTTGAAAGTGTGGGCTCCTGTTCAAAAGGGAAGGGCAGGGACCTCTTGGTCCAGGTCATCTTAACTTTGTCCCCAAAGCTTTGACCTAACACTTATTGTTAAAGACAGTTGTAGTGAGCCTGAAGAAAGAATGAGGCTTGGTCTGACCCTAGACAGGACAATGTTTATTCACTGCTAGGAGGCACTTTTATCACCTACATGTGAAGATGGCTAAAATGCCTACAGAAGATGAAATGTGGTTCCTTAAAGGGGCAGAAATGACTTCCACAGTCCACAAGGGATGCGCACTCCTTTAGCAGGAAGCTATCGGTTATATTAACAATGGAAAATTAAGAAGTGTCAGGGAAATGCCCAGGCTGCAAAGAACATGAGTAAGAGAAGCAGCCATGGTGGGTGTCTCAGAGACCTACCTGCCGAGTCATAGCCCCTGTACTCCAGCCGCTGCAGGCCCCTGATAAGGGTTTCGAAAATCTCCTTCCTCGTCTTGGGAACTCGGTAATTCATATAGGCAAAGATTCCTGTCCAAAGAGAAAACAAAACAAAACAAAACAAAGTCACCTTAACAAAATACCAGTGTCCCGTTTAGAAACAAAAATAAAACACATCACTAGACAAAGGAGGCACCTCAGAGAGCCCCCAGGCTGCATGCAGAGGAAGAGCCAGCAAGAATAGCCATCTCTTCTGTCCTCTGAAAGAGTTGTCTTCTGTCAGCCCTTCTCTCTGTGGTAAAAAGCTCAAGGGAGCCCTGTGTGATGACCTTTGGCCTGACAATTTCACTGCAGAGAATCTCTCTGCCATTCATTGGCAGATGTGAGGCACCAATAAACCAAAGACTAAGAGTAGTGGAAGCGAAGCAGTTTGAGGCTTTGCAAAGCTAGGCATCTCCAACAGAGATTAGAGAGACGAAATGAAGGGTGTGCCTCAGGAGTGCAAAGAACAGTTTTTATGGCCCTGATCGCAAGTTCTTCCTCCTCTCTCCTCATTGGCTGAGTACTCAGGAATGTATAATTTTACATGTCACCTGTCATCTATGTCCATTTATCAGAAATGACCATGCATGGGTTTGCCTCTCTGCCCAATCTAATGGAGACAGCTTCTCAATTGATAGCATTTCTCCCCAAATGACTTAGTTGACTGACAAAATAACTAACAAACAAACAAACAACCTAACCACTACAGCTTGTTTCTTTCCTTTCCTTCTTCTGTGTGGACTGGGGATGGAACCCAGGGCTTCATGAATTCAAGGCAACCACTCTGCTAACTGAGCTGCTGCTCCAAGGATAAGTGTAAAAGTAGTTTTTTTTACAACAGCCAGACTAGCTCCATCTCTTGGGAAAGCCTTGTTAAAGCAGGCTGCAAGATGATTCAGTTTGGCTTCATTTTATTTAATGTATTCATTTGTACTTTTTCTCCATGGTGGAAAAAACAAGTTCTCTATTTTAGGTCTTTTATAAGGATAAGAGTGGTTCCCAACTGCCACATCTGCAACTCCAGGGGTATCTGACGCCCTCTTCTGGTCTCCAAGGGCAACCACACTCATGTGCTTATACACACAAAGACACAGGCACACAGAGGCACAGAAGCATACACGTACTCACAATTAAAAAAACAAAACATGTGTAGTGTGCTTTCTGGGCAGTTTCATGTGTTTTTGTTTCTAAAATGGCCCAGGGCAATTTTGACACTCAGCTATTTTTGTTTTCCTTACTGACTTCAGGTCAGGGGAGAGAGGGATGCAGAGATGAAGGGATGTGTATGTGCTTTGAGTCCTTCCCAGGAGCTCATACCTTCTGTCCCACACTTCAAACCGAAACACATCTGGGTGTACTCTTGTTAGATTGCTTATTATTTTTTTTTAAGATAGTTTTCTTTCAACACCAAAATGAAAATTTTAATAGTTTTCTTGAGATCTAAATGCACTAAATTATCTCATTTAAAAAGTACTTTTTCCAAGGTTCTTAGTCTTATTCATATTCTACAATCACTGCCATGGTCTGTGTTTAGGTGAACCTTTGCTCATATTATCATCTTCCAGCCTTGGCCTGAAAGTAATATCTAGAAATTTTTGATAAATAAATAATTCATAAGTCTGATCCTGCACAATGTTCCAACATGAGGAAATGCATTCCCTGCTAGCACGCCCACCATCCCCTTGTTCAGAGTATTCTTGCTGCAGACGTGACCCACCCATTCAGAAGCTGTCTGCATTATCAGAATGAGTATCAGACGATCTCGGTACCAGATCAGCCATCAGAACATCCCAGGACCAGGCGATGATTGACATTTCAGTGTCACGTTTGTGTTTAAATAATGTTTGTTTTATTTACAAATGGCCCCCAAATACAAGCACAGTGATAGAGGCAAATGGTAGCCCAGAGGGCTGCTCTTTATGTCCTTCCTTTCAGTGAGAAGGTGAACGCTCCTGATTGAATAAGAAGAAAAATCATTTGCTGAGGTCATTAAGATCGACAACAAGGAGGAATTCTCCTCTACCTGGGAAACTGTGAAGAAGGAAAAGAAATGTGGGCCTCCTCTGTCATCAAGATCGACAACAAGAAGGAATTCTCCTCTACCTGGGAAGCTGTGAAGAAGGAAAAGAAATGTAGGCCTCCTCTGTCGTCACACCTCAAACCACACATTTACAGCCACAGAGTGTGGTAAGGGCTTAGCTGATGGACAAGACACAGCTTCGGGAGAGAGAAAGAGAGACAGACAGACAGACAGACAGACAGAGAGGATAATGGATATCTACCTTGATTGCTCTCTACTTTAACTGCATTAAAACAGGGATTCCAGAAGCTCACCAGTTAGGCTAGGCTGGCTAGCCAGTGAACTCCCAGGATCCCTCTGGCCTCACTTCCCAATGCTAAGGTCACAGGCACACCCAGCTAAAGATTCAAACTCTGGTCCTCATGCCTGCTGAGCCCTCTTCTCAGTCCCTGGAGTCTTTTGAAACCACCTTTTTCTAGCACCTGGGAATGTTCCATAATTATACCTACACTCTTGAAGGGGGGCTTGATATGCTATGCAAACAAAAAAGAACTAGAAAAGTGGCTGTCCCCAAGTTCTGAAAATATTTTATTCATTTATTCATTCACTCACTCATTCATTCATTCATTTTTGTTTTTTTTTTATTTATATATTTGGGTTTTTTGAGACAGGGTTCCTCTGTGTAGCCCAGGCTGTCCTAGAATTCACTCTGTAGACCAGGCTGGCCTCAAACTCACAGAGACCCACCTGTGTCCAACTCCTGGATGTGCGGGGATTAAAGGTGCGTGCCATCAAAGCCCAGCTCTGAAAATACTTTATTCAGAAAGGTGGGTTATAGGGGTGATGATGAGCACAGTCAAAATAATTGATATATTCCAAGGGAGTTGTCTTCAAGAACCTAACACTGTACAATGAACATACATCAGTAAAAAGTTTCAGATCGTATGGAATGTGGTCAAGGAAATGTTTGTTTGTATCAGTTTTAATTGATTTTTTCCTTCCTGTCATGGCTCCTATTTTTCCACATGATACTTAGTTAATATTTGTGGAGGGCAAAATATTATAAATTTTGATACATTGGGTCCTGGGCATATTTTGTATCTATAAATATTTTCTAATTCTGAAAAAAAAAAAAAGTAGGGGAAAAAAGCCTTTAAATCTGGATTACTCGGGGCAGAAAGCCTCTGGGTTCAGTCTCCCATCCTTCCCTAAACCTCTTCTTCCAGCCACACTCACTTCTGAACATGCGTCTAGTACACATGTCTTTGCATGGCACTGAAGATCCGTAACAGTTTGGGGAAGGGGCACATTAGAGCCACCTGGTGGGATATTAAAACATCCTCAGGACCACCAGCTGTGCTGGCACCCAGCCAGGAGCTTGGCAGGCAGTTGAAGCACAGTTTGGGAGTTGAGTGCTGTAGAGCAAGCTGCCAAAGAGGGTTTGTAAGGCCTTTCCACAAGACACATAAATCTTCTCGTTTCCATCGTGAAATATCTACTCCATGACTTCTTTCATTAACGAAGCACCTCCCCTCTCCCCGTACTGCCAATCTTCCCGGCCAGTTGGGTTTGCACAAAACTGAACCGAAATAAATAAAATAGTATAAATACTGCTAATTATTAGCCACGTTATTATTTTTTTTTAAGATCATGAAGTAGAAAAGCTGCTTTCCCAGGAATTTCTCTTGTCAGAATTCCCTCTTGGAATCCACCATTTGTAAAATAAAGTGACGGTGAAAATGCAGCTTTCAAACACAGATCCGTTTGGCAGCGAGCATTTAAATTCATGCAACCTCTTTGGAAGGCAATTTAGTGGTTATCAGAAATGAAAAGTGAGCGCGTGTCATGGTAAGAGCTGCTACAGTTCTAGAAACACACCCAAACCGGCCAACTTGGTAGACTGGAGGCAGTCTGGTGTTTGCCTGGAACCAGGTAAAGACCACTGCAGGTGCTCAGAGCAAGCAGACTTGGGCAGGCAGAGCTCCTCCACAGAGAACATGATGGGGCTTTCAGAAAGCAATCAGATATACAGGGTATGTGAAAGGGAAAAAAAGCAGCTTTTGGAACATGAACAAGCAATGAAGGGTGTGATGGAAAGCTGTGGCAAAAATTCTGCAGTTTTGGGTCCTTTAAAAAACAGAAATATTATTTTTTTAAAATGTACTTTCGTTTTAACCCAGGTGTAGGGACGTGGGGCTGCTTGGACTGTCCCCAGCAGCTTACTATGATTTGAATCGTGCTCCAGTGAAGGCGTGCTTTTGTCAGCTGCAGATAGTATCTGTAACTGTATGACGTTTGGAATTCTGGGAACTTTTCAGAGGGTGTATAAATGCAAGAGCCCTGATTGGGGTGGGGGGATTGTTGGTCATTTAGGGAATGTGGTTGCAGTTTGCCAGTAGCCGAGGTCAAAGAAGAAACAGAAGGAAAGAAATTAGATTCAGGAATTTTCCTAGTTCCTCTCTCCCCTCTAACCTTGTTTCTCTCCTATTGAATGTTAGGGGTAAAACTGGGGTGGGTGGGTGGCTGGGGGTGAGATAAAGGATAGGGAAAAAGAGGAGCCCACAAAATAGCAAAGGACAGGTACAGAAAGCTGTTCAGGAAAGTCTTCCCTTGATGTCTGTTGCACACTGAGTTCAGGATGTCCCGGGAATACCAAAATTCAAAAGCATTCAAGAGCCTGCTAGATAAAAGGGTGGAACCATAGTAACCTGGTCATAAGCCCCGAGACTTGTCCCTCCCTTTGCTCCTTCCCATCCCTCTCACAGGGCTACAAGCATACTAGGCAAGCCCTCCACCATCGAGCTACAGTCCCAGCTCTAGAAAATGCCTAATGAGATCTCTCAGGTCAGCAAGATGGCTCAGCTGGTAAAGGTGATGACCTGAGGTTGATCCTTGGCGCTCACGGGGTGAAAGAAAGAAGAGAACTGACCTCCACATGAGTGTCACGGCACGGGCATGTCCATATCTGTATGCATACAATGCCCATAAAACCAATAAGGTAAAGGTAAAAGTAAAAAAGGAGAGAAAACCTCCCATGTCACCATAAGGAAGACATCCTTACCAAGGGAACAAACGTTGATAAGGATGAACCGTATGGGAACTTATGAATGTGTCACAGTCCTGGTTAGTCCTGATTTCCTGTGGGAACAGCCATGCCAGTGAGGAGGGTTGAGACCCTCAAGGGTAGATCCAGTGTACAGAGACACCTGGGATTTCTGGC